ATAAGGGACGATCTTGGGGTGGTTTATCCTGGAGAAGACTACGAAGAAATTCTATTGCTAGTCTTGTTTTCAACTTGCAATGGCTGTTGGGGTTGGTCGTCTGAAGAAAGGTAAACATAAATGTTATTTTGTAATTAGCAATCGGGTTTGTCGTTTGTTTTTAACTTTTCTTTGTACACTACACTTAAATGTGTAATCAATAACCATTAATCAATCATTGATTATCGTTTTCTGAGACAAACCGTGATCGACCTGTAATTCTTAATACTGAAGAGTATCGTAGTGTAAATGAAAATACATGCTCACTTTTTTAATCATATGTTTGTCGGTCGTATATTTTTTCGTGAATGCTTTAGTTTAACATTAAATGGTAGATCATGTGGACCAGTTTTTGTCGCCAATTGTGTTTTTGATGGCTCAGCTATGATAGTCTCTTTTCTTGCGTCAATGCAAAGGTATTTACTGGGTTGCTGGAAAGAAGTAGAAAATTATTCCTTGATATATGTTTTCTTAAAACTCCACGAGAACATAGTCAAATCTATTTTATAACATTAGAACAAAGTAAATACTTTACAATGCCAGACTGCGAGTTTCAGTTTGGTGGAAAAGCAGATGATAAGATTAAGTGACATGCACTTTGTTGTTAATGATAAGTTAAAAGAGATTTCATACAACAATAGAATCAAGTTGCCAGCATTTTGGTATAAATCATATTGTATGATGCAAATGACCAGCTTTCAAAATTCGAACAGCTAGCACACTGCAGGGCGTTCGTAGCGAGTAGAATGAGACTTATTTATTAAATTCAGGATTTGAACAAAGTTGTTTTCCAGAATGCAGTCTATGTTTAAGATTTTAGCAAGTTTGTAGATTCCGGGGACTCTGTAGCATGTGCATAAAAAACTGAAGGAAGTCACGGTCCATTCCTATCTCGAAATGCGTTTTTCTAAACAAAATTAAAATCGACTAAAACAGAACATCTCTCCTTGTACCTAGTGCATGGTATTTCATCTGTCGTTATATTTTATAACTGTTTGGGACTCTTACAATCAGGGGCGGATATAGAGTATGTCAAATCCGTCGCGCGACTGATGTTTGAAATTCAAAACGTTTAATTATTCTTATTTAATTAATTATTCTTATTTTCTTATCGCATTTACTTCGTGATAAAAATCCCGCATTATTCATTTATGAAAACTAATGACTAATCCAATGAATATCTCTTTGGTAACCAGATCAGTTGAATTTTAATTAACCTGGAATAACCGACTGATAAGCGGGGTGGCTTGACTGGTTCGACGGATAAAGGAGTCTATGAACGCCAAAAACGCTTATTTCATTGGTCAATAGCCAGATCAGTGGACAGTCTGGAATAGTCTCGACTGATAATAAGGGTGGCCGGACGTATAAGGGAGTCTAATTGCTATCTTACAATTGGTTCATTTGAATTTTTGCTTTATTGTGATTGGTTTGACGGATTTCGACTGATAGCCAACTGAACTAACATAGTCAAGCTCACTGTCTGAATTGAATGTTTGATCGTTTCATAGTAATTTTCTAAAGCTTGATAGAAACTAAACTCCAATCAGATGGAATTTATGGAAATCTTTTACAAATTCATATATTGACATGAATGCTGCTGTCCAAAATGTGAATTTTTTCAAGAGGGTGGAAATTTATGGATAAATTTTAAATGCTTGGCAAAGACGATCTCGCGAGCGACATTTCAGTCATTGATGTTCAAAAGAAAGCCAACATTGTTTTGAGTTTTATCAGCAGAAATTTACATCCAAAATCGTAAGTAAAGGACAAGTGAAGTGTATGCATGAATGTAATATATCAAAGTCAATTATGCGAGTGTGATGCGATTTATGTCAATATGGCGTATGGTAAGCAGATTGATGCTTCTAAAATTGTTGTTGCCGAAGGACTTTAGCTATGATTTCTTTAGTGCTTGGGGAATCGTGGCCGTTATACGGCAGCGAAATCCTACATTCCTGCAAAATATATTTCAATGGACAAAAATCTGTAGCCATAAGGCGCCATACTATTATTTACTTTATCATAAACAAATGTTTGGGGTTTTCAGTTTATGATCATTGATCATTCAATCATTGGACAGTTATACTACATATTGTTTAAGATTTGAGAAAACTAATACTTGATTATAATGAGAAGCTTGTTTACTATAACCTGTGATTTTGAGTCTTCTGATCCATGAAGCTTTTATTTTGACAATTTGACTGGAATGGTATTAAACCTGAGTATTTCACATACATGAAATGTTGTCCCATGTCACATATTGTCCCCTTTTCTAACTGAACACCTCACAGAGATGTGTAAAGGTGTGTTAATCCACGCTCATACCAGATTGTTTGCCATAAATTCCAAAGGGCTATTGATGTATGAAAAGCATTTTGTATAAAGTAAAAATGTCTTTCTATGTATGCAGATAAACCTCAAAATTTGGCAAAACAGCAAAGTATTTTTCATGATCACTAGGTAATTTTTCTGATGATCATTATAATTTCTAAACTAAATTATTTCTGATTTACATTTAAACAAGCTTTGATCATATGAAAAGATATTTATCATAACCAGTAAGCATGACACATGAACCAATTTTAACATTCATGTAATTATATAATTAAAGACATGTTGGTTACATTCTGTTTGTATTTGTAAATACAATGCTACTAGTGATTGCTATATAGCACACCTTGTATATACTTACAGGAGATAATAGTCTAGTGAAATGCCTAATAAACATTTATGGCATTAAGCTGTCCTTAACTGCAAATTTTCACTCTGATAATTTTGCTTAACCTTTGGCAAAAAAAATTTTGAGTTTTTCTCAAAAGGTGAATTTGCTGGCACTGATGTGGAGATGGGTAAAGGGTTACAATAAACTTGCATGGTTTGAAGTCTGTTTTCTATATCTATGAACTGTCACTTGTAGTACCAAATTTTTAACTTAACTAAACTCATTACATAGAGGTTTGAATGGGGGTCTCTAGGGGGTCTATGCCTGACAACTTGGTAGAAATTTTTAAAGACTATATCTGTTTTTGAATAGCATTATTGTAAAATAAATTTTACGTTCCTAGACATGCTAATGAGCCACATATTTGGCATGATGATGAGCCTAAATATTTGGCAAAACATTCAAGTATTGTTCACTTCATTTTTTTTTTTAAAAAAACGTAAGCAAAATGTGTTGTTTTTACGCAAAAACGATGCCCACAAATACAATTTGTATTGCTCTAAAACGCTGAAAATGGCATTTTCAAGGCTCTGAAATTCAAAATTTCTCAGGGGAGAATGCCTCAGACCCCCCCAGGTGCGGAGCGCCTTCGACGTTTTATGACTGATGTTTGAAAAATCCTAGATCCGCCCCTGCTTACAATTCATTGACTTGTTATCAATTAGGATCATGGGATTGAGACGAAAATCTTCACGACCATAATTAAAGATAAGTTAGGTAAGGTAGCTGGTAAAGGCCGTTGAGTCTTCAGTGGTCTGGGGACAAGTAAGATGATTAAATGAATCTTAATTTCTTTTAAATGGAAACATCGCTTTTAAATGTTTGTTAAATGTTGGCAATAATATAAATAAATATTTACGAAATGAACTTACATGAGTATTATTATAGGTTTAGTATATGTAGATATCACAATGATTCACAGTTTGTTTATCATCAACGCTTCAATGTGAGTAGATATGATATGTGGTGGATATATGTGGGTTAATGTTTTTTATAGATCAAATTTCCTCTCTAGGCTCTTGTTGGTTTGTTCGTTTACACCGATCATTTATGCAGTTTAGGAACTTGTGTTTGATTGCTGTGGATGGCAGACGTTTGTGGCTGTTCAAAAGACATCAGGCCATGGAAAAACAATAAGTTTTATTATCGACTGAAGAAAGTAACTGGGGACAAGTAAGATGAATGTTTTGAATTTTTTTCAAATGGAAACATCTTTATTAAATGTTAGCAAAAATATATATATTTACAAAATGAACTTAAATGAAAATAGTTTTATGCAGGTATTGGTTAATGGTTATAGACAAAATTTCCCCTTCAGGCTCTTTTGTTGGTTTTGTGCATATTAGCTTGTAATTATTCAAGTATGTAATTCATAATTAAATTTGAATGAGATATAGTGAGATAAGTTGCAGTATGATATTAAATGAAAGCTTGAACAAGGGCTACAAAGTGAAGGCTTATTTTTATTTGTGGTATCACCTGACATGATTATTGCAATTATACTAAGATAAAATGAAAAATGCCATGACATTAAAAAGTCCACTAAATGAATGTCCAAGGTTGGACAAAAATGATGTCATGGGTAATTGTCGGATATATTTCTGGAAAAACATTGGAGAAGTGTTTTAGGATTTGTTTGTGATTATTTCTTAGAAGTTCAACGAAAAGTGAATGAATTTATGTGTAAATTGTTGGTGATTGATATGAAGGTATTAAGCATATGTGATATGTTGAAAATGAAGACTTATTTAGTTGAGAAATTTTAAGCATTTATTATGTGCTATTATTTTGTTTACCAGTAATTATATCTAACTTTATTAAATCAAGTATTTGCTTATTTAATTTCAGGCCTATTTTCCTGAAAACATTCCTCTGTTGTGAAAAAATACTTTGGAAAAATTTGCACCCTTGCTGGCCAGAGTCGGCCAAAGATCTTATTTTCACATAAAGGTGCACCTGATTTTTGTATTATTGAAAAGAGAATTTCTTACATAAGTGCAACTAAAGCTATTTCTTACTAATAGTTTTCATTAACACATTATTTTGTTATGCAATCAAAAAACACCTCAACTATCTGCAAATGGGCTCCAAAAAAGTATATAATTGTTGGATTCCATTATTATTATGCTAAATTCATGTGTATTTTTCATAATTTGGACACAGTCATTTAATGAAAATCTATCTGCAATGAGTATTTTTAATGTTTGTTTACAATTACTCATTACTGTCTATCTAGTTTGCACTAATATTGAGCTGTACAATTTTCTGGGAGAGGTCTCACTGGTCTGTTTGCAACATTGAAGGTGAGTTATTTTATTTGTCCGAGAAATTAGGCTATGCAAAACAAGAGAGTGGCAGACATCATGTCTGTGATGACACTCTATGCACTGCCTTTTTATCATATTTCTTATTTACAAAAAGTTCAAACCTTTTTTCAATCCTCCACAAATAATGACAATTCTGTTGTTAGTATCAGGAGTTCAAAGTATCATGACAAAACAAGTTGTCAATCAATGAATTCAATGTTTCAAAATAGTAATATTGTTTAAACAGAATTTAAATACCAGGTCTTGAAGCATAGATAAATGGGATCAAACATAACTCATATCTCATCGCAATTGCCGGATGGTCTCATAACAATTGCGATTTGTTAAATTTATGCATACTAGAAAATTCTCATCCCGTTTTAAAGTGACTGCAACTCCACTTGTTTCAATCTTTTTGCGTCTCCTGTTTTACAGGCTTCCCACGTGTACACAAGCGTACCTATTTTTGTTAATGTATTTTGTCAAATTCACAGAAGTTTTTTCATGAGCATTTGCAAGGTCAACAAAATGGTGATAGATACGATAAAGTAAGGATTTTTTCTTGCTGCCCAAGCCATCATCTAGTATGATGTAAAGAAAATTCCAGTTGAATAATTTAAGAAACAGTCCATTCATAAACAATTTGTGTTTTGCTATATGTAGATTTACGCAAGATTTATTGGAATTAATGTTTATTTGTAATAACTGGTTATTTGTAGACGATACTTTTTTCAAACATTTCAACTTTACGATTGTGAGCATACTGAAATGCAGTCATTTACGAAATCTGCTTAGAGAAATCTCCATAAAGCATGTTTTTCCAGCTATAATATTTTGAATTTGAAATGCTACATTGTAAAAGAAATATTTATTTTTCTCAAGGTCACGAGCTGCAAAAGAAGGCATTCGTGCTGTCAGACGGAAGCAAAAACGGTGAAGAAGTGGAGGTTGTTGGAACTTTTAAAGGTGAGAGAATTTTTACAAACATAGTTTGACATGTTCTTTACTGGATAAAAACTACACGTTGCTATTCTAGATTGCATTGGTGAATTCTTTCAATACCCAATAACCATTTTAAGAACATTTCACGCGTCAGGCGTTTGATTCAATCGCCAATAGTTTGTATTGGGTTTTTCTATAAGATAGAAAGTCAGTCTCTTGGCGATTAAATCGAACTTCCAATGCCTAAATGAAAAACTCTTAAAATTTTATTATTACCTTTATACAAAACAAAAGACTTCACAAATTCAATTTTGTTTTTTTGAGCGTAACAGTCTTTAATTCCATGTACAAAACCCCAATTTCTGTTTTTGAAACAGATTCATCGCTCTGTAGACCTGAACTTTGGGGTTTATAATAAGTTTGTCATGTAAGTTGCAATTTACAATGCATTGTGACGTGTGGGTACCTCCCTATTTGGAAACTATATATTTGTATACATAACTATTTGTATAAAAGTAGTTAAAAATTGATGCTTGTTTGAAAAATGAAAGTGCTAAGTAAGACTTTGACCCCCTCCATCTATTCCAGTTGTGTAAACCGATGGTTTTGAGCTTGAACACATATAATGTGCATCTTTCTCATCTTTCTCATAATCAATTTTTATATATTACAGATACTGATATGACAAATTAATGAGAAATTACGTTGACGAAAAGATAAGTTTAAAGACTGTCCAACATGATTTGTGTTCAACATTACGATAAGCCTAGTGAGCGGTCTTTCGGTAAGATAACCCTGTTCTGCCGTAAAGATGAAAAATATTACGCGTTGACTTGTTTCCACGTTGGTTATGCACCTCATATGAGGTTGAATGATGACTTTCTTACGATTCAAGATGAAATTAGTAAAAACAAAGAAAGCATTCAGCGTTTATTGCATGAAAATAAATATACTTTCGCGGATGATCATGACAGCGTGGTTGGTCGTTTTTCAGACTTCTCTGTTGGTCCTGATATCAATATCATGTCTATCACTGTTGGCAATAAAGAGGATTTTCAGAAGCTTGTTGATGATGAATTGGAAGAGGTTAATTTAAACTTTCATCTCATAGATGCCAATATTTTCCTAATGCTACACCAAGGGGAATCTATAAAAGTTCGCACAGCCACTGATGATTGGCTGAAACATGACATGTGATAACGCAAAATTTCAGATTACGTAACTTTCTAAAAATTAATTACGCAATATTCAGAACAAAGATTGGAATCGAAACCTTTAGTAAAAAGCATTTGCTAACATAAACGCTACGATAATTCAGCAAAAATAAATTTTTTCTACGGGAACCACTGAATGTTTTCATTACATACACTGCAACGGTAAGTCCTAAAAATGTATGCATTTTAATTCATATATTGACTTCTAGATTCGTTTGCACAAAGTCGGAATAGCGCTATCCACAGGATTAAAGTGAAAAATCTAAGATTTCAACTGAAAAATCAGTGATGTACAATACTGGTTCTAGTATAAAAAAGTATCATCAACCTAAAAGGAAACAAAAGCATTTTTTTCACAAGTTTGAAATAATTACAATTCACTGGATAACTCTAACCAGGGTTTCGTATAACCCACCCACTGAACTATTCATAAAAAAATACCGCTGGATGGGCTTGAAAAAAGAATGAAATTACACACTGCTGTGAATAAATAGTTTCCAGTCCACGAGTCCGTGTCAGAGTGTCAAATATCCTCTAAAGTATTTGGTGTACGTGTATTATTCACACATTGTTGAGGAGTTATAATGTAGTCCAGTGACATCATGGATTATTAACACATTCTTTCTCTAAGGATTGTTTCTTCTTTTTACTACCACGTGTAAAACTTCACTTTTTTTGTATAACAGCTGCATTTATTGTGTGAGAATAACCGTCTTCTTTTCTGCATCACATGTTTACCATACATATCGCTTGTCACCTTCAATTTTGATAGTAAAACAAGCTAGAAAAACAAGAACACAAAGATAGACTTCATTAGATTAATTAACCATTTCACGACTGTGTTTATCTGACGTTTTAACACCTGTAATGTAAACATTCATTGATTACGAAAAAATGCTTTGATTTTACATATTTTGCGAGTAAAATCCTAAATCTTTTTCAAAGTTCTACTAGATACCTTCTCGATCATATCAAAGAATGGCGATTTTCACCGCGTATAACACGCGCGGTCATGAATTTCATTAGACGGTTTAACTGGCATTGGTCAGGAAACAAGTCGATCTTATGAGATGGCAAAGCGGGATATTTATATTTTGTCCAGCAACGGGGCATTGAAATTTTATATGAAAGCTGACGTTTCGAATGCACAAACACTGACGGGGTTGCGCACATCAGCTGAACACATTTACAGCCATACAAATGACGAGAATATCCACGCCAAATCGCGTTCCCACTCCCCCCGTCTGTACGCAAACACTAGATTCAGAGCGCACAAGCTAGACATGTGGCAAACTATTGAGCGCGTCCTTACGCAGAGGCTTCGAAATAATTCTGAAAGCGACGATTATCTGTCGTTCACAGGAATCAGAAAGAACGTTTGAAATGCATGTTTACAGAAATGGAACAGCGTCATTTTACACGTGTGTTGAAAATCAATATGTATGGTACTGAGGGCTACTTGTTTGACATTATTCCGTGTTTAGATTTTGGTGAAAATCATCAGTATTTGAATAATGCTATCTTGATAAAAAGTGATGAGTCATTTCTTCAATATGGTGACGCTGGTGTTCTTGCTTATTTTTTGGATATAAAAAATAATTGGCTACCGTTTGCGTATGGAGTTGCAGAATTAGCTGAAAGTGACGGAGAGACCGGAGAGACATATTATATCTGCATGAGATTAAAGACTGCCTTAGAAGCACTCGGCCTTCAGGGTGGTCAGTTTTTTAAACTGAGGAACAATGGTGACACTCTATCCGTTAGTGATAAACACATCAACGATGGCACTGCATTGAACAACACCAACCGTGACGACAATGGTCGCACTGCCTCTTATAAAGGTAAAACGTTGTGTCATTTTATTTTCCTTCAATTTTTCTTTAATATTTTACTGGTCGAAACGTTTTTAATATGACAACGGTAATGACAATTGATAATACAATATAAATAACGTCATAAAAGTATAAAAAAATATACATATAGCAATCGACTTTTTGACGATCAATTTTTCATGATTTTGTGTCTTTGTGATATTTTAGAGAAAGCTGACGAAAGAACATATCAGGAACATGAACAAGGTCAGCATAGTGGAAATCATCGTAATATTGTTTTAGTCGAATATTTTTATTATAATATAAACTACACTTTTCATTATTGTAGATGTTTAAAGTGCTACTGAAGTGAAATTTTCATATTTCGTTTTTCGATACAAACGTTTTCTCTGTATTTTACTGATCATTTTGAGCTATCGCCCACTTAATTTAATCGATGGGAACGCATCGAACTTTGTGTTCAAACATGGCATATTTGCTTGTTTTGATGCGAATTTGACTTTGAGTGCGTGACGTCATTTAAAGGACGGAAGTTCAATTTTAAAGCTCTTAGTATATAAAAATTATATACGAACAAGCATATTTCCCCCTGGAATTTTACATATTTTATAACTTCTCTTCGCAAAAATTGCGTATATTTAGTGACAAATGAGCAACACGCATAGGTAAGCAACATTTACAATCGATTAGAGTTTTATAAACTTCTTGAATTAACTTATATTTCTTAATAAGCTGGGTGCCGCATCCTTGACGAAGTCTGCGGTTTTAACACACACGCAATGTTATCAGAAACTAACTGTAACGCGCTTATTTCCAATCATCCAATGTATACTACTTTTATAAACTTCTGGATTAGACTTTCTTATCAGATGGGTGTCGCATCTTTGACGTAGTCTGTGGTTTTAAAACCCATGCAATATTATCACAACGCACATAATATAAGGAGAATAATTTTTATTAAGTTAGTCAAACGTAACGATACACCGCAAGTTAAAATATGGCGAGTAGGCAAAATTCTGCAAAAAATCGTCGAGGAGGACAATATTGTGTTGCTGGTTGGCCCAACGGAAAAAGTTGTACAAACAGTCAACACACAGAGGTGTCTCAGTACATCGTTTCCCCATGAATGACAAGGAGAGGCTGAATAAATGGACGAAATTTGTTAGGAGACATAGGCCAAAATTCGTTCCTCAGCAGTACTCTGTGCTATGTTCAATGCATTTCGCAGATTCTGCATTCACCGTGAACGCAACAGTTGCAAAATCGCTAAACATGAGACGACGATTGCGCTCTGATGCTGTTCCAACCATAGACTCTGTAAAAGGCATTTCAAGTCCCAGAAGCCTTAAACAAAACTTTCTCGGATCGAATTTCCAAAACTGAGGCAATCCAACGGCATTTGGATAGGAAACAACTATCTTCAACACCATTGTTTCCCACATGTAAGTTGTTCATGCTACCATGTATAATAGGTATGGCCAGTGCATTCTAAAAGTAAACAAATTAAATTGTTATTTATAGATAAACAGCAAGATGTACTGCAAGCAAAAGGTTTAGACAAAGAAAAACAAGCTGCTTCAACAGGTCCTTCAGATCCAAAAAAAATGCGCTTATGCAAAAATTGTGGACAGCCAATGAAAGGACATCAAAAGGTCATTGTCCACAAGAATTATGACAAATATTCTTAGCAGGCCAACTTTAAAGTTAGTTATAAAATAATATACTATGCTACAAAAAATGTTCTTATTTGATTAATTATTTTGACTTCACACAACAAAATTGTGAAGCATCACAGCACAATAATGAACAACATAAAGGTAAAAAGTAGAGATACATGGCAAGATATTAATCATTCGTTACAAAACAAAATTAGAAATCAAAAATGTACTAACTCATTTTCATGTATTCTTGGTCATACGCTTGTATGACCTTCCATCTTGGTCTCTTAGAAGTGAGCCAACATTCTACCAACATTCTTCAAGACTGTAGCATGTGTCATAATCGTGTACTCTTCGTGAAGAGTAACACAGCTAATTTTTTCAATGCTAACATCGAATACCAGTTTATGTAAAGTAGGCCCAACCTATTGACAACAACGGTATTCAATGGCATCTGTCAGCAGTTGAGTACGACCCAAGCTACATGCACACCTATAAAAAAGTGGTTTGTTATCATATTTATGCACCACGACATAAGGACAAAATAACATGTTTAATTCATGGTTTAATTTCTTCTAGAGTTCTAGTAACATTTATCAACTTACCACTTATCTAACTGAAAGGTTCCTTCGAACCTCGCTTCCAATGTTCGAGGTTCTAAGCCATCTGCGTCTTCTTCGACCGAGACAAAATTCTCCGACTGCGTTCGCAAGAGGTTCATTTTCGTAAGGATTTACCACTGAATTAGCCACAATTGTATCCTCATCGCCGGAATTTGAAAGTAAATTTTCATTTGCCATATCTGAGTTTTCAGTATCCGAACTGCGTTCGCTTTCACTGCTTGAAGAACTCATATTTTATTGTGTATATGTGTTAAAAATCTAACAAAATACTAGTAAATCAATGCTCCTACTTCGACTTCCGTCCTTTTTATTACGTCACATCCGTATAATATTTCAGTGGTAAAAATTCGCACGCGTAACCCAACTTTGAGCAAAAATTTATTGATGATCCCGTGCTTCAATATGCATAAAAATTATACCAAAGTGATCAGGAAAGATAGAACTATTTGATTATAGAAAAAAATCGATACCCAAAATTTCACTTCAGTAGCACTTTAAACAGACGCAATATAAAATACTTTGCAGCTTTTGGTTATTCGATGAAAACAACAATGCTCTCAACACTTTCTTTTCCTGTGTTGACAGAAGACATTTCGATAATTATTTTCGATGGTCATAATTTGCTTATTTTAGAAACTCTAGCAACATGGTAAAAATCAGTAACAAATCTGTTGTTTGCTACAGATTTTCATTTGATTTTTCGAGTCCAGCGACTTTCCATGTATGACAAGAATACGTAATATGGCGTCAGTGTCGGTCCGACAAATCATTTTGTGTAAACGTACCTGTAAATGTCGGCTGGACAAAACATTTTTTGTGTAAACGCGCCTTTAGAAACTACGTCATGTGTTTTACCAAATATATAAAAAACATTCATTTTTAAGTAGAGTGTGGTTACAAGTATCTCTGAGTGTTTCGATGAAAAATAGAATAATAAAGTTGTTAATGTTAGAATTTTTGAAAAAATTTCTTATTGTGTTACTAATAATAATAAATTTAAGTCGCAACTGTAATACTTTTCTTATGATTCACAGCCAATTAACGTTAACAGGATTAGAATAGTTAAATTTCAATTTTTTGCGATTTTTTTTGCAATCTGGTTACAATGGTTACTGTTATGTTAATTATGTTAATAGTATTTATTGTTCTTTTTACTACAGAGACATACACTTATTCAAGCCAACTTGAAATTGCTGAGAAAACGGACAACAAAATACTCAATCTGAAGCTTCTAGCCCAGATGCACACCAATGAATATCACAAATTTGGTAAGACACTATTTAAAATATAAAGCTAATTGTTTGCAATAAAAATGTTAGATATCGAATCCACATTCCCGTTGATTATCTAAAGTTATAAAGGTAGGTCACATTTTCGCAGTTTATATTTAAGCAATTTTAAATATTTCCTCATGATTATGTAGCAAATGTACTTTGAAACCACGATTTGTGCTTGCACTTAAAACTAACAGAGCCAGAGACGTACTGAAATTTAGACTGATGAAAACTTTTACACCACATTAACATTAAAATTATTGAAATGTCTATTGACTATTTGACTATTTTTTATATTTTGCTAAATGGCAAAAATTATTTTAAGTTGGGTTGTCGCAAAAATGGAATTGCGTTGACAAATCAGTGATGCATCGCGAAAAGTTTGAAATGATGCAAAAACATTGGCTTGAACATCCAGGTGATATTAGAATTAAAGGCGATGTACGTGTGATTTTCGTGAAAAAGTTCTTGATTAGCGAAGGAAGTGGTGGAACCGTTTATCTTGGCTTGGGAAAGGATGGTTATGGAAAAGCTGTTAAACGAATCCTTAAATATAGCTGTATCCATCTTGCTCTACGAGAAAAGAATGTTTTGAATGAGGCAAACGCAAAGAAGTCGAAGCATGTTGTAAAGTATTGGAACTTTGTAGAAGAGGAAGGAGAAGGTTTTGTCTATTTGATATCAGACTTGTGCGAACAAACTTTGACAAGTTTTGTTGAGTCTACTAGATTAGATAAACTTCACGAAGTCCTTCCCAATATTCTTAGACAAATTTTAAATGGATTATCTGATCTTCATAATGGCCCAAGTTCTATTCTTCATCGGGATTTAAAGCCTTCTAATGTTCTTCAAGACGTGGAAGGCAAATTTATGATAGCTGACTTTGGTATTAAACGAATTTTGAAGAGTGGCTCTAACAAACATAAAAGCCATCCTAATAGGGGAACTCAGTATTGGATTGCACCTGAATCGTATATTGATGGTCGTTACAAGAAAGAGTCTGATACAATGGTAGATATGTTCTTTAAAAAATATATAGCTATTGTTCAGTTCTGCAAATAACTAATAAACTCAATTTTTTAGCATTTCAGTATCTACAGTTGATGTTGTGACTATTTATGGGTTTTTTTTAATATTAGTGTGCAGGAATGGTGGCTTATTATGTTGCAACGAAAGGGGAACATGCATTTGCAACTGAAGAGAATATATTGAAAAACTTGTTAGATGGAAACCCTGTTGGCTTGAAGAAAATCGATGATGTTCAACTTAAAGATTTTCTTTCATGGATGCTACAGCATAAGCCTGAACTCAGGCCATCAGCCAACGAAGCGTTAAAACATCCTTATCTACAATCCAATGAGGAAAAGTTTGACATGCTGTGTGATGTTGGAAACCAACCGGAGATAAAACAACCACAATATCAAAATTCAGATGTTCGTAAGCAGTTGGATTGTCCCACAGAATGGATGAAACGTATCGAGGATGAAGTTTTGAAAGATTTCAAAACATTTGAAGTAAACAACAAAGAAAGAACTGTAACCTACGAGTCTTCATGGTCAAGTTGTTTGAGATTCATACGTAACGTTGGTCAGCACTGGCATGATAAAACTCGTTCAGGCCTATCGCCATATATCAAGGAAGGAAACTATAAAGAGTATTTCATGCAACGTTTTCCCGAACTTCCTCTACTGGTGCACAAAATTATTAGGTCGACTGACTGGAAAACAAGACCTGATCTCAAAAAACATTTTACGAGTAAGTAAAGCATTCGAAATTATTTTTAGTGTATACGAATTACGCAGCTATATATAAAGATCAATTTACGATTTACAATGTCGAAACTTTGATAGTAATTTTCACTCTACTTGTTTGCCTTAATTATAAAATATATTTGTATTTGATATTGCTTGATTTTAAGCAATTACTCTTGCAAATAATTTTAGATACCATACATGTTTGAAAACAAAGTATTTGATGGAAAGAAACGTAAATCAAATACCTGCATAATTATTTATTCTTATACCCTGATGCTGAGTTTCTACAACGTACCTATGTTATATAGCTCTATGATCATATTTACAGTTGTAAGGTTTTACTTTGCATTCTCATTAGAAAACATAGATTGCATTAGCTAAATGTTTGTTTCACGATCTATGCGCAAATATAGAATGATGTTCTGTCATATTTTTATTGTCTTATTTGAACAGTACAATAACATATTTTCACAGTGCAATTAGAGTTAAGCTGCACTGTCATTAACTAATCACAGACGAGAAATATCTCAATGCTGTGTTTTAAAATTATCATTCTTTAATGTAATATAATTGACTTTTCTAGCATTTCGTGGCCGCAATTCGTATGTATTATTTTTTTAATTGCGTTTACAGGGTGTATTTGGGAATCAATTACTGCTGAATCTTGCATATTTTAAGCTTCTGCCAATTTCAAATATGTGCAGTTTTTTAGACACCTTGTACAGCATGTATCAAAAAATTGCAAATAGCATAATTTGTTTTTACGAGAATATAACATTAAAAAATGCCTGTACAACTAATTACGCTTCGGGGATTTAAAAGTTGAAGTAATTTTAATTCACTTTATGTGCTTATTTTCATAGAAATTTATGTATACATTTATAATGCTACGTGAATGCCAACTTAGAAAATTCTTGCAGACATTTTAGAACATCTGAAAGTTATCTTATAGGTTATTATCATTCTATCATCTTTTCCATTATCATTTGCAATATGTTATGATAGACATGTTTTCATCATGTCTATTATCGTTTACAAACGTCTCAAATCCTTTTTGGTATTTTTTTTCAGATTATCAATTGAAAAAATCTAAAATTTGCATTACCAATCCGATTATCATTTGTTATTATTGGCGACTAAATTACTTTGATTTTAGGCTTGAGTAGAACTATAAATAATGCGCATTAAATGTAGAAAGTATTAAAGAGAAAACATACAATTGTAAAAAGTAAAAGTACTGTGTACCATTCTGGGCATAACCAAATACCTATAGTTAAAATAATTTTTTGAAGGTCCTTTTTCGATTTGCTAAAAATGCGCTCGGATTTTTCCTAGTAAGACCATCTTACACAGCAGTCACGACGAAATCAGTATGATCAAGTTTGTTTACAAAACATATGACACTTTGTCGTAAACAAACAACCATTTACAGCTCCCAAAAATCTGTTAAAAAGTTAAATAGCTAGAAGGGAACTTTCTTTTTGTGTGGTGTTTAACAAATAAAAGTTTACATTTGTTGCAATACTTTTTAATAATATTATCATTCTTTAATGTTTCATATTTACATTGCTTCAGCTTCTGAAGAAACGAAATCATTGCTATATTTACTAAATGATAATTACAGTGCTGCTGATATTGGTATAACGTCTACATCAGGACGTAATAAGTAATGGATTTTTTATGCAAATATTTACACATACGTAATCCATGTCCTTTAAAAGTCAAACACAAACAATTAAGAGTCGTTTATATCATGCGTATCATTCATATGTTTGTAAAAGGTCAGATAAGAGAGTTTTAGAATTTGTCATCATGCTGTAATGTTATTTAATTGCATAGCAAGAAATTAATTTGATTTATCTATTAGATGATAATAACAGTGAAGTCATCATTGGTGTTTCGCCTTCCACATCGAAACCTGGTAAGCAAAAGTATATTTTTACCAAACATTTGCTGCCCAAACATTTCCATGTTTTTCAACGCTAAACACAAACAATAATTTATAACCTGATAAATGAATTTTGAAAGGTATCGTTATATGTAGCCCACTAAAAATCTTTTAATTCAAAAATAATGCAAATGTTGTGGATCATAATCATGTGAAAATTTTAAACTTTGTAAACATAGAAATTTGATCAATATGTATAGAAAGTGGAAACTGGCTATGATGCTAAAAGTGAATTGTGAAAACTATCATGATCAACGTGTCGGTTACATGTATACGTTACACGTACACAAATGAACTTAAATAAAATATTGTTGAAAACATCCTTTTAAATTATATTATTTGTTTATTGATAGTCAATAAAAGCCAATAATTATGTTTACAAATACATAGTTTCATTTAGCGCTTAGGTGGTAGCTAGATGCCCTGATGTTGGATCTAAGTTATTCGTTTCCTTTAACTTTTTTTTGTGAAAAATAACTGTTTCAAGAGATATTTATAATGTGTTATGAAAGAGTAAATTATTAGTTTTACGGAAAAACTTGCAATAAAACCACCCAAAATATTACAAACCACAAAGTAAGGTAGTTCAACACACTGGTTCAACTCCCTCTTTGCAAACACACGGTATTAGCATAACAATGCATGTAATATTTGCAAGACTGAATAACATACAATAAATGGTTACGTAAATGCAAATTCTAAATAAATTATGGCTCGCTGAAAGGTTTGAGGGGGAGTGTTCTACGTCCTGGGACCAGCTTTATTGTGTCTTTATTGGATCAACTATCCCAAAATTTTAGTCAGACCGACATTTTTCGTCTTTTATCCGTTTCTGGACCGACTTTTATTCATATTTTACAAAAGCTGGGTAGTGTAACATATGATATACACGTTTATTTTCTTTATCATTTGTTTAGATGCAGATGATAATTTGGATGAACACCTTTGGATGAACACAAGTATTTCCGAAGGTAACCTTAAAAACATTATGTTCTTTAAGTCTCCGAACTCTTTTCACCTCGACAGATGCTTTCATCTTTGATTTTTCAATCTTAATGTTTCCGCATTTAAAGGGAACTGTACTGCATATTTACATAAGATCGTTAAACTAGAACATTTGCATAAGATCGTTAAAAGTATGCAAAGCCGATTTGGGCAGGAAAAAATTAAAATGCATGCCAAAAAATGTTCTTTTTTGAAAATGTTCTTGTGACTTAGATATTGGTTTGAGTCGTTTAAAAAATAACAGGCGTTGTTTTCAAAATGTCAGCGTTTTGACAGATTGCTATTTTTAACTACTACTTATATTATCATTTGGTAATATTATTTATTTGCATTGTTCCAGCTTCGAAAAAAAGGAAACCTTCTGTATGTCAATCGAATGATAATGACAGTTTCGAAGACAGCGATGCAATCCCTTCATTGGGTAACAAAATTTCATTTTTCAGAAAAATCATTCTTCATTGCTATTTTCATCATTCTATCATTGCTATTTTTAACTACTTCTGTTTAAAAGGTGCAAAATAATGAATTTTAAAAGGTTTACTCGTTCCCATACTGTCACCATTTTACGATGGTGAGATACTCAACTGTGAATCGAATGCAAAACATAAATATAAACTTTGTGCTAGGGATTAATGATGGTTGACTTAATGCAGAAAATAGTGTGGAAGAAGGATACCTTTGTGAATGATTTTTATATATCCGTGTTTATAAACCTGCAACATTCTTAATAAATCAAAGCGTTCTCAACTTTCACTGTGTTGCAACTAAAATAATTTTTTGCTCTTGCGCTTGCACACGACGATAATAAAATTTTTGTTTTCAAAATTGATTGTTCAAACTATATGCTTGTCTACAATAACCTTAAAAGTATAATGATAGTTGTATATAAAAATACTTTTATTTGTTTCCACATATTACATCATTACTCATGTGACGACCAATATCTCGACCAATGGATATTTTCCTCGTAATCAATACAGAAACAAAAATGTTATTGTTGAAGAGAAAAACCAATCAAAATTACTTCTTATAATGGAAAATTGTAATTTGTGGCTCTGTAATTTTTATATTTTCTTATATTTATAATCGGTGTGGTATTATGTTGCGACCAAATCTTAAAATAAGCCCATACATTAACATTGTTTATGATAAAGAGCTCATTAAATTGTTTTGTTGTGTTATAAATCAACAAAAAATGCTCTAGTTGCTCCTCACTATAATAATATAATATTTTAATATTATTTTATTATTTACTTTATAATGCAGAAAAGGGAAAACAACGTTTGGAAGGTTGGTATAACGAATTATTTTCAGTTTCGTAAAGCATTATGATTAATTTTTTTTACTACTCTCAATTGCTCGAGTTGGAAAATGCTGGGTAAATTTTTTTAATTCTCAGAATTTTTTAATGACTATTAATTAGGAATGAAAAATTCTTTACATTGCATGCATAAAAATGTCCGTGTCTGAACGTAAAGTGCAGCATGTCGTAAGCAACCATTTTAACTATTTCTCATTTTTTCCAGTTAAAACAAAGTCAGTTATTGAAAGGATCATTGCTTTGTAACATTTGTAGAGATCATTGAGTAAATTCAATTTATTTTAAGAGGATTTTTGGTCATAATATTCAGATATTAAATTTCATGTTTTATGTTAATGTGAATAGGATGTGTGTTTTATCTTTTGCAGAATTCCTCAATCTAGTGTAGAAGATCTAGCGTTTGTCAAAATGAATTATAGATGCTAATTTCAAAATTTTAAATTCAAAATATATTCAAACCAAAACTATTGAATTTGAATTTCAAAAAAATTAAACTTTATCAATGGAGTTGCCTCTTTGTATTTGGAAATGGAAATATGTTTAAGCATGAGCTGCAGCAATTTATTTTGACGTACCCTAGATCCGTCACTGGCTTTATTGAGTTAAAGGTTGGTATGGTCTTGCAATGAACTAATCGTGGAACGTCGATTATTGATGACCAACTCATTTCTACCGGAGTAAATGTTATTTCCATATCAAAGTAAAAATATCCGTGTTTTCTCATCCTGAAAAAACACAGCAGTGTTATATGTTATGTGATATTGCCAAAACAAATAAAACTGTGAATTGATGAATTTATTGCAAGAATTTATCAGTCCTTTTTTAATCTTTCCTGATTTGTACTTCTCTTTTAAGTTCAAGAATTGTTGCGTCAACCATGGAAATGTTTTGATAAATCATTAATACATCAGAAAAAGTTTAAAAAGATGGAGGAATATGGACGCAAACATCCAGAAAAAGTTACACTGCTCAATGAATTGCGTGTAATCTTCATGAAGGAGTTTTTGCTTGGCAAGGGAAGTGATGGAACCCGTGTTTACCTAGCCCTGGGAAATAATGGCTATGGAAAAGCAGTAAAGCGAATACCCAAAGATAGCGGCAATGACTTTGCAAATCGAGAAAAAGAAATTTTTAATGAGTTGAATGCAAAGCGTTCAAATTATGTTGTGAATTTTTGGGATTTAAAAGAGAACCTTGACGAAGAATATTTGTACATGATTTTAGATTTGTGTGAAGAATCGCTAGAGAGTTATGTGAAATCTTCTTCTTTGCAAGATCTTCAAAAAGTCGTTCCTAAAGTTCTTATTCAGATCTTAAATGGTCTAGTTCACCTTCACAGCGGTGAGCGTCCTATTCTTCATCGGGATTTAAGACCCTCGAACGTTCTTCGAGATGTACAAGGAAATTTTTTAATCGCTGACTTTGGTATAAGTCATATGTTATCTGATGAAACTTCGACACATCGGAGCATACAAAGAGGAGCTAAATATTGGATAGCTCCAGAGTCATATAACGCATCAGATGAATCAATTGATAAAGTTCGTTACAAAAAAGAGTCTGACATTTTGGTAAGTTCTTGAAGTAGAACTAGAGGTCCAACTACAGCTCAATGTTGTGTTTGCATTTGAATGTTGTATTTGGTAGTGATAATGATTTTGCCTCAATTTTTTTCTTTACCTCGATTGTATCGTCAAAATAAATTAATTTTTGATAAACGTGTTACAGTTACAGTTGTATGTTCCTTATTTAAATTGCTTTTGATACATATATATGGCTACAATTCTGTTTGGAGAACATTTCTTAGATTTTTTACGCTGCACATTATTGTTGAGTTCTGCAAATCGCAAATAAATTTAATCTTTAAGGTTTTAGTATCCACCACTGACTGTTTATGACAATTTTTTATTGAAAATAGAACGCAGGAATGGTGGCTTATTATGTTGCAACAAAGGGAAAACATCCTTTTGGACCTGAGGCGAATAGACTAAAAAACATGTTGGATGGAAAACCAGTTGGTTTGGAAGAAATCAAAGATGTTCAACTTAAAGATCTTCTTTCATGGATGCTACAACGACAACCAGGAGACAGGCCATCTGCCGATAAGGCATTAAAGCACCCTTATCTACAAACAGGCGAAGAGAAATTTAACATGCTGCGTGATATGGGGAACCAACTGGAGGTGAAACATTCACAAGGTCAAAATTCTCCCCCTTCAGACGTTCATACGCCTCTTCTGGTGCACAAAATCATAAAGTCGACTGACTGTAAAACAAAACCTGATCTCAAGAAACATTTTACGAGTAAGTAAGAGCTACGAAAATGATTTTTTTCCTCGATGTTGTAGCTAATTAATGGTTCCATGACACTATAATGTTCAAACTTAATTGTCTTTTTCACCGTAATCGTACATTCGTTTTCTAGGATTTACTATTTTGATGTTGATTTCTGGTAATTATTATTTTAGTTTTGAGGTTTTCAATTATCCTCTCACAACTCTCAACTGCTTTTAGTTTTATGTATTTTATGCATGGTGTCAAGATGTTTACTATTTCATTATTTCTCATTTGGGGTAAGGTTGGTCGTTTGGCAGCCTTATAACATTTCTTTATTTTAAATTACTCTTGCAACCATGCGTTCTTAGTTACCAAGTTGGTTGAACAACTTGAAGAAATCAATGGAAAGAAAAGTGAAGACATAAATTGTGATATGGATCTTGACGGTAAATATAAATCTTGCTTTGTCACTCTTAAATCATAAATCTTAGGCTTGTAGGAGAGTAAGAATTAAACATAAGCAAAATGATGTGGTAAAATGAAAAGAAGAGCTGATGTGTTTGTTTGAAAGGATATAGTTATATATTTAGTCATTGAATTAAGAAAATCCATTAATCACCAAAATGTAGTTTTATTTTCGATGATTTGACTGAATGATGGTTCCGTGACAATATGCAAGAGATACCTGCAAGCTTAAAAATCTTTCTATGAATTAATATTTTTTATGGGTATTTTATAAATGCTCTGCATTATTTCTCTCAACTCCATTCAACTTTAGTTGTGTACATTGTATTTTAGACTTATATCTGAGAAAGTTAATTATTTTGTTTGTGTATTTCTCATTCGAAAGTAGTTTTGTTTTTCTGGCTGTAATTTGAGTTTGCTTGAATTAAAATAGTTTCCTTTTGCTTCCATCTAGTAGAAATTGAAAGAGTAAATGGAAGGAAAAACAAAGAAAGCCCAAGTCATAACGGTATTTGATAGCAACAAATTTATTTGTTTGTGTGGAGGGGGTCTATTGTGCATTGTTTTCGTGGATTAGTTTGAAGTGGTATGCTTTTAACATTTGTTCACTTGTTCAAAGTTGTGAATAAGTCGTTTGTAGGTGCCTATAAGCTTCAACAATTCCAGGCTTATGTGACCAGCAAGATACTCGTACATAAACTACTATTAAAACGACGACCGGTATACAGATAAGTCTTTATTTCAATGCAATGCGTCAAACGTACGGTTCTAAACGACAGAGTATAGATATTAACATAACCGACAAGGAGGCCTAAAGCCGTAATCATCGTTACCTCGTAATTTGGCCACTAAATATAAACATCCATGTACAAAAAATACACCACTATACATGAATTGTGCTCAATCTCAAAAGACCCCAAAACCATGCTTTTATACGGGTCCTTTTGTTTTCATAATAATTAGCATAATAATTAGCATAACCTAAGCTCTATGCATCTCGATCCTACATACCAGCCCCGAACGACCTACTATACGTCGTTCAATAATTCAAAAAGGATCGAGAGCTACAATACAAATGTTTTCAATGTTAACTTGCGCAAGTTTTAAACAATGTGTCCACCAATCTTGTCGAATAACCAAACATAAACCAATAGATACCGTCGTTTAACGTAAACAAAATAATAATAACAGTTAAGTGACAACAACAATAACGTTCGTTTTCTGAAGAATTTCTCGCTTTACTTCGCAGTCTCCAATAGGCACAACTTCCTGACATCTCGACGATAACGACTTTGATTCGCCGTGCGGATCTCTACTTGCCGAACATGTCCGTTGCTATCGGGAAATGTTTCTTCAACTATCGCTAGAGGCCATTCACCTCTGGGAGTATCTTCCATCACCATCAAAACGACATCACCTTTGATTAAGTTTCGTTTTGGGTGTAGCCATTTCTGTCGTTCTTGCAAACTTGGCAGGTATTCTTTTAACCACCTTGCCCAAAATTGGTCAGCTAACTTCTGCGCTCGTTTCCATATTTCTCGGGGGTTATTTGCCGTAGGTGAAGAACTTGCACTTGTGCTTATGTTTCGATAACGCAGGAGTAGAGTGTTTGGTGTAAGAGTTGATAAATCTCGAGGGTCATCACACTGCCGTACAAGAGGCCGATCATTCACTATTTTCTCGACTTCGCACATTACTGTAAGGAGTGTTTCATCATCAACAACTCGGTCTCCTATTATAACACGCATTTGCTTCCTGATTGTTCTGATCATGCGCTCCCAAACTCCCCCGCTATGGCTTGCTTTCGGAGCAGAGAAATGCCATTGAATTCCCTTTTCTCTTAGACGATCTAATATTCTAGCTTGATTCCAATTTTGCAACATTTGCTTAACTTCAGATTCCGCTCCTCTAAAATTCGTCCCGTTGTCACTGAACAACTCATTCGGCGGTCCGCGTCGACTGACGAACCTACATACGGCTTGAATGAAGGAATCTGTCGATAGGTCATGTGCAATCTCAATGTGTATGGCCCTTATGGCTAAGCAAGTGAATACACAGCCATATCGTTTTCAGTTCCTCTTTTATATTTGACTTTAAGAGGTCCAAAATAATCGACTCCCACAGATGAAAACGGGTACTCACCAGATTTCACACGAGCTTTTGGCAGTGGGGCCATTATCTGCTTCCCTGGAGACTGGTTTCGGCGACGACACGGAACACAATTATTGACTATACTCTTCACAGTGCTAGGTCCCTTTATTATCCAGAAGCGTTGCCGTATTGCTGCTAGAGTTTGACTGGTTCCAGCGTGACCTTCCTTTGCATGGTAATACCGGACAATGAGCTTTGTAACGTGATGACTGGAATCAAGAATTGCGGGATGTTTAGATTCTTCCGGCAGCGATGATTTATCCAAACGTCCACCAACTCTCACAATTCCTCCGGCGATGACTGGACATAGTTTAGCGTATCTCTCTCTCATAGTTTTCTCGTTGATAGATGAACTTCGTTGGGTAAGTTTAATTATTTCCTGGGTTGCCGATTCAATCTCTTTTACCTTTAGAGGACCACGTTGTACTTCTAATCCTGGACCGTTTGGATAACGGCTTAAGATGTACTGTTTGAATCTTAGCAGCCATGCAACCGACTTCTGCAATCTGTACCATTCGGATGTTCGATGGATAAGTTGTATTAGCGAATCAGGGGGTGCATCCTTTGAGTTGATGACGGCACCAACTCTTGCTTTAGGTTTCTTTACTTCCACATCTGTGTCTTCTACGTCTGGTATGTCATCTAGCTGCGTTGGCCATAATTTGGGATCTTTCCAAAGGAAATCGGGTCCGTTCAACCAAAACTGCAAGTCCCGTTGGTCTTGGCCTGTTGCGCGACCAAGACTTATACCTCTTGATGCAAGGTCGGCTGGGTTGAGCTTGGTTGGCACATGTCTCCATTGATTCGGAGTAGAAGCATCGTGAATAACTTGTAATCGATTCGCTACAAAGGTTTGAAACCTTTTGTTCTCGCTCTTAATGTAACGCAGCACTATCATTGAATCGCTCCAGAAAACAATTTGACTTATTGACAGATCCAACTCATCACAAATTTGTTTATTCAGCTTCACGGCCAATGTTGCAGCGGTTAGTTCCAATCTGGGTACCGTGACTGTTTTAAGAGGTGCAACTCTTGATTTGCCCATAACTAAGGTACAATGAATCCTTCCTTGGGTATCTTCCAGCCGAAGGTACGTTGCTACCCATATCCTTCAGTCGATGCGTCAGCAAAATAGTGGAGTTCCGCATTCCTTGTCTTGTTAAATTCGTGCGGTTTATAGCATCGAGGTATTTCTAATTTCACAAGGGAATGGAATTCGCTTTGCCAGTCATGCCATATTTCGCTTGTCTCGATTGGGAGATCTTCGTCCCAGCCGTGATTTACTCGACACAGGTTTTGCATTATGCGTTTGGCTGGTAAAACGACAGGAGCGACTAGACCAAGGGATCGTAGACCGAAGCTATGAACGATAGAATCCCTTTCTTGACTCTGCTTTCAATTTGCTTCCCGGAATCCCAACGTGTCCCTTTCCGTATTCCACTGAACGCCCAATGCTTTCTCCATCGGCAACTTCTCCAACTGAAGGCTGACGCATGGCGCTCTTTCTTTGTTAGGTACGTGAGATAAGACTTCTCGATCATTTGACACCCACTTTGTGAGATGGAATCCACCGCGAGACAGCAAAACTGGTAGTTCGTCTACCAACTTCATTGCTTCTTTCCTTTCTGGTAAAGACTTGAGACAGTCATCTACATAAAAGTTACGATCAACTGTGTCGACAACTTGTTTGCTGAATTCTTCCCGATTATCTGAAGCTGTTCTTTTTAACGCGTAAGAACAACAACTTGGGAAGAGGTTGCTCCGAATAAATGAACAGTCATTTGATGCTCTACTGGTTCTTTGGATAGATCTCCCTCTGGCCACCATAGAAATCTCAGTGCATTACAGTCTTCTGGCTTAACCTTCACCTGATGGAACATCTTCTCAATATCTGCCATTACCGCTATCTTTTCCTGCCTGAACCGCAACAATACACCAACTAATGAATTGGTATAATCTGGTCCTTGAAGAAGCTGATTATTTAGGGATGCGTTGTGGAACTTCGCAGCACAGTCAAAAACGATTCTTGTCTTTTCTGGTTTTTGCGGGTGTGTCACAGGGTGATGAGGCAGATACCAAACCAGTTTTTTGAGTGACTCGTCCTGTGTATTTTGTTTATCCACTTGAACTACTTTAGCGTGCCCTTTTGAGATGTATTCCTTCATCGTTGCCTTATAATTTGCGTGAAGTATGGGGTCCCTCTCAAGTCGTTTCTTCAAATAAGCAAGTCTCCTTTCAGCCATAGACTTATTGTACGGGAGGAGTGGGTCATCGTATTTCCAAGGAAGACCAATTTCATATTGATGATTTTCTAGCTTGACAGTTCTATCCATTATTGCCTTTGCGCGACGATCCTCGACCGACAGACATTCTTTAACGTCAGCAGCCGACTCGCTAAACTCTGAATTGTAGAGATTTTGCAATTGCTGACGAATGGAACTCATACCATCTTCCCTTTCCATACACCCAAGAGCTTGATCAACATGAATGAAGTTCATCTGAGCTTCTTGATAAGGTTTTCCTTCAGAGGTCCCATCACCGTCCAACCGAGGATTGTCCGTATTGCGTAGGGTTGATTTCTTTTCCCAGAACGCACTTCAAGGGGGCAAAGAGCTTCGGGAACGTCACTTCCAATAAGGATAGTGACTTTCTTATCCACTAAATCGGTTAGATTAACGCCTTTAAGGTGAGACCACCCTTTACATCAGTGTTCGTGGGAATACTTTCTAGAGCAACAGGAAGAGTGTTGGTCGTCCAAACTTTATCTAGTCTGACACCTTTGCCCGTGGATACTCCAACCACATCGAGAGATAACTGTTGACCCTTACTTTTGTGGCTGCCTGAAACAGTCGCTAACGTGAATTCGATGGGTGAGCAATCGGCTCCAAGATCTTCAGCTAAACTGGTTAAGCACATGGTTGTGTTGGAGCCACTGTCTAAGAACGCATAAGTTTCTATCACACGACTACCATAGGGTGCGCTGACCTTAACTGGAATAACTTGCAAACCTATACGACAACTGCTATATGATGAATTTGTCGCGCCAACTCCAGACGTTGGGAGTGCTTTGGATTGGCTGTCGCTTTCAGATGGTTCAGGATTTGAATTACTCCTTTCACTTGATTTAGAATCCTTAGCCTTTATTTCGGATGAGTGTAACAAAGGATGGTGCCTTCTCTGACAACCTTCAACACCGCATATGCGGGCACCTCTGCAGTCTTTCACGAAATGTCCTGGGCTCAAGCAAGCATGACAAACTTTGTGCGTCTTTACTAGGTCTTGTCGTTGCTGAAGATTTTGAGCCCTGAACTTGTGACAGCGTTCAAGATGGTGTGTGCCTTTGCATAGTACGCAGGATAAATTTCTTCCCTTTGATTCACTACTGTCAAATATTCTCTGGCTGTGAGTTGCTAAGTTTGTGCTATTCCCACTAAACAAGAAGGATTTCTTCTTCAATCTGTCAGTTCCATCCTTTCGGGTTTCATTTTTCGAGGTAATCATTTGACCAAAGTACGTACTAGCCACGGCTGCGCGGGATTGTATGAATTCAGTTAAATGAGAGAAATCTGGTGTGATGTGATTGTCGTACATATGGCTTGCTTTATCAGCCCATTTTGACTTGAGATGCATTGGAAGGCGGCTAACTACCCTTCCCAGAGTGTCCATCGAATTGATACTTGCCCGATTTCCTAACTGAATAGAACCAAGGAGACACGTTTCCATATCTCTTGCTAGCTGCGACAATTTCTCGGCTTCGTTTACTCTAATTGGCGGTCCATTCAAGACTTTCTCAAGGAATGCTTGGGTTACGATGTGATTTCGACCAAAGTTTTTTCTCAGGATTTCCTTAGCACGCTTGTATCCTTGATCCGGAGGCATAATGATGCAATGCTCTATCGCTTGTCTTGCTGTTCCTTTACAATACTGAATAAGGTAATTCAGTCGATCTGCATCATTACTTTCTTTACTCTCGACATTCACTTCAAAATTCTTCATGAACAACGGAAAGTTGCGAGGTTCGCCATCAAAACTCATGTATTCCCTTTGAGGCATTCTTAATCCCTTCACTACTTCGTCCATCGTAATCTGCTGCTTCTCTAATAGATATTGTAACTGCGACGAATTGTCTCGTTGCAAGCTTTGCTGAGTTTGACATCCAGTTCCACTGGTTATTATACTTTCTTGGGGTACACAATTTCCGGTAGGAGGTATCGCCAAGCGCTGACTTAAACTGCTTCTGTCGATTGGGGTTGAAGGTTGCTGGACTGGGTTTTTATCTGGTTCACGAGCGTTACTACTACTTTCCCTGTCCGACAGTTGATGTTCAATATCATTACCAAAAACTTCTTCTTCAAGCTTCCGAAGCTCATCTCGACGTCGTTGTATTTCCCGTTTCTTCATAGCCATCTCATGCTCAATTCTCGCCTGATGCATTTCTTTCTCTAGTTTAAGCCTTGCCTCCCTCATCTGCTTGTTCAGCTCTTCTCTTCTATTAATTTCCAATTCTTCAAGTTCACGAAACCGTTCTGCCCATTTTGAATCAAGCGCGCTCGTTACTCCAGCCCCGTTGTCTTCAAAATTTGTTGTTTGCGTCGGCTTTTCCCACGCACGAGCAGTCCGCGTGACGTTCACGTGAGAAGCTGCTTGTTTACCGATATTAGAATTGGACTGGAATACAGGAGCAAGAGGCGATAAAACCGAATTATCCTTCAAAAATGAAGCGACCTGACTTAGACCAAGTTCAAGCTCCTGTTCCTGTTCGTCTGCTACTCGCTCCGGCGAACCCAAACTCGTCGAAGCCTCGTCAGAAACGACAACTTGCTTGTTTTGTACGACGACGTTCGGTCCGCTTTCAGCTCGCTCGCTACCGTCATCTTCAGCGGATTCAATCATGTCTTGATTCGTATTGTTAAGCGAATTCTCTCCAGATTTAGCTCGACTCACTTGACCTGGAGGACTTAACTGTTCGCCAGACGGCTGAAGTACGCGTTTTGATAAGCCTTTAATTTTCGACTTTTTACCTTGACCCTTTCGTTTCTGAGTCATTGCTGATCGATTAAACAACAATTACGAGAACTATATAAGCTTCAACAATTCCAGGCTTATGTGACCAGCAAGATACTCGTACATAAACTACTATTAAAACGACGACCGGTATACAGATAAGTCTTTATTTCAATGCAATGCGTCAAACGTACGGTTCTAAACGACAGAGTATAGATATTAACATAACCGACAAGGAGGCCTAAAGCCGTAATCATCGTTACCTCGTAATTTGGCCACTAAATATAAACATCCATGTACAAAAAATACACCACTATACATGAATTGTGCTCAATCTCAAAAGACCCCAAAACCCATGCTTTTATACGGGTCCTTTTTGTTTTTCATAATAATTAGCATAATAATTAGCATAACCTAAGCTCTATGCATCTCGATCCTACAGTGCCTGTAGTTGTGATCTGTTCAGTTTCTTAATGGGTTTTGTTCTGAGTTAGTATAGCAACTTTTTAACGTGAATAGTATGTATCCAGTGCTGTATGTGATGAACTATGCCGAGTCCTTGCAATTAATGTTGTGATTTGTCATTCGATGATGTTCGGGAATGTGGTTGGTGTTATAAAACGAGTTTTAGACTGTTATTCTCGTGGTGTGGAGCGTCTATTGAATCACAAACGAGTTGTGCACTTATTTTTAATGTTCCATTCGTGGTGGTTATCTGTCATATAGGATTGCAACATGATGGTCTAGCGTGTGTTGATTTGTTGTAATTACCGTTGCGTTTAGCGTTGCTTACAGTACAATGGTAAGCACAACAAGCAAATACACGGACAGCTATAGACTCACCCGTCTCTGTTGTAGTTGTTATAAAATTTTCGTGTAAACTGTAAAGGAAAAGGTGCGCTTACTACCTACCAATACGTGCTACTTTTTTGGTTCCGCTTGGTAGACAATATAATCACTAAATTAGTAAACTTTTATCGTTATTTTTGTGAAAGTTGTTTTGTTAATAATCTATTTTTTTTACTTTTTTACATATGCATCGAATTTAGTATTTTTGAATGATGGATTGGATATGGAAGAGAACGAAGATGTTGCTCAAAGTCTCGATACATGTGGTAGATCATCAATTCAAGTTGAAAACAGCGAGGGTAGTTTGGTGTGGAATGTTGGTAACATGGATAGGTTTCGTCGTTTTTTGGTGTTGGGAAGCGATACAGGCACTTTCTACATTGGCGAAAGAACGTTAGGCTTAGAAAATGCGACAGTCGTCGTGAATCTTTTACGAGCAGGAAGGAGTGTTGAAGTTGTCAATGAAATAGAGAAGTATAGCATTGAAGGACGAACCGTAAGACAGCAGGCCATCGTGTTTTCTCTTGCTGTTTGTGCCCGGAGGGGGGATCTTGCCACAAAAAGACAAGCATACAAGGCTTTACCAAAGATCTGTCGAATTCCGACTCATTTGTTTATGTTTATTGACTTCTGCAAGTTACTTAGTCAGCCTGGCAAAGGTTGGGGTCGTGCCCATAGGAATGCCATAAAACGTTGGTACAAAGAAAAAGATCCATGGAAACTGGCGATGGATCTCACCAAATACCAAAAGCGTGAAGGATGGTCACATAGGGATGTTGCAAGGTTAATGCATCTCAAGGCAGAAGGAATTGGTGTTTCTGATGAGTTGTTTGTTTTAATGAAGTATGTTGTTTGTGGTTGGCAGAAGCTTTTTGAATATTTCTTTCCTGAAGATAAGACAACTCCACATCCTCCTATTGGACATCATGGCAGTGCGATGTTGGTATTTTTTAGGGCAGTTGAAACGATAAAAACAGCGCAAGAGGAGGCAAGAGTGGTTGAACTGATAAATCATCATAATCTTGTTAGAGAACATATTCCAACACATTGGCTTAATTCTAAAGAGGTACAAATATTTCATTTTTAATTTTCTTTTTACATTTCTGAACTTGTAATCATTTCAATGTTAACTTACTGGACTAATTTATAAATTGAGCTAAGAGTTTTTTCTTTTAAATTGAATGTATAGAACAAACCTTTTTATTGCAAACATGTTTAGGCAATCTTATGCCATCGTCAGTGCGAACAAATTAAATGAGCTATGTTACATAAATGTTGTATACTATACATGAAATTCGATAAGTTACTTACAAACAATAGAGATAAGTGTGGGGTTACAATTATTTACAAGTAAATAGCGATATATAATATATAAATACAGTAAATATAGTAGTAATACAGTAATATAGTAAATACAATATATAAAAAGCGAATGATACGTGAAGTGAATGAACTTTGAATATAAAATATATTTACAAACTAAGAAAGATGTTAACACGGTGAACCTGCTTATTAAGTTCAGCTTTGAGCTTCTCTAATTTTAATAGTGGAAGAGAAATTGTCAGCGCGAAGAACTGTAAAGCAGGCATCGTCATAATGTAATTTGCAATTAGGTGAGGATAGGAACCTGTGTGTTTTTAGCGTTATATAAGACTTTCGTATGAGCTCCGAACGTGAGCTCAATGTACTAGAACGCTATTAAATTTTGTGATTATTTTATTCACTAACGAAGAAGTTATTTACAACAGTCGTGAGTATTCTATATATTACAATTTATTTACAGGCTTTTTATATATTTGGCTCAACAAGGTGCAGTTATTACACAGCGGATAATGTACTTGAAATTTGAGTAGTTTTAAGTAATTATAAAGTAGCGCGTTTGAGTAAGTGTAGGATTGGCTATTTCCTCTATTGCTAATACATAAATCTAGATGAATAATATACGCACGTTATGTACGTCACTACATGTTCTTTAATCCTGGAACACACATGATGCATTGTTTCGCATTATATCATATTTTAAATTTTTTTTTAAGTTTGCTTTCCTAACTTCTAAGGTCATTGCTTATGTTAGTGATAATCATCATGTTGGACCCTTTGTTTGTACTACAACTGTGGTATCAGTTTACTTAAATTAAATTTATAAATTGGAAATTCATTATACAAGCATTGCAAAGTCACTCAATCAATAATTGATAAGGTATAATTTTATTGGCAAAATACACATGTTTCTAGGTGTGGGATGCTCTGTTAAAGAAAATGCCAATGACGGCAATGATACGTAACTTAAACAAAATGACGTCCATTGGCTTGCTTGCTGAAGGATCACCTCAGGCTTTAGATGTTTGTAAAAAACTGTGCCATGGGGATCCGTTAAGAAATGAATGCATCCATCCGTTTAACATGTTATTAGCTTTGACAATATACAAGTCTGGAAAGGGTGAGAAAGGTTTTCTTGAATGGAAACCTAATGAGGACATCATCGAAGCATTGGAGGAAGCATTTTATTTATCATTTAAGGTAGACCGAACACACAATCAATTTTTTAACACAAGAAGCTGTTAAGCAGCATTGTGTTTTTTGTTTTGTTTTGTATTTTCAACATTTTGTTCGATTTTAGAATGTTGAACCAACAGGTAAAAGGCACATGCTAGCTCTGGATGTAAGTGGCTCAATGCAATTCAGTAGATGTTTTGGTGCAAGTCCAGTTAGATCTCACATGGCTTCTGCTGCAATGGCTTTGATGACAGCACGAACAGAACAATATTGCAAATTTGTTGCATTCAGTCAAGAAATAGTTTTGATAGGGATGTCCAGTAGCATGAAATTGAATGAAATTTTAAATATTTTTAATGAAGTAAGTTTTTTAAATTTCAAAACCCTTCAGTTCTTTAAATTTATTTGTGCATAGATTCACCTCCTTTGCTATTATTGGCTTTGTGGGACTTGTTTTTAGTTTTAAAAACTGTTTTGGGAAGCATATTAAAATGCAATGTTTTTGTAAGAAGTGCTTAATTATTTATAAGAGACAATGGGTTAGTTTATAGTAATGGTGTACAAACGCAAAACCCTAAAAAATATGTTTGTTAACCTCTAAAAAGAATCGAAGTATGTAGCATAAATATATATTTTGTATTTTTCAGATTCCAAAGGGTAAAACAGACTGCGCTCGACCCATGCTTTATGCCCTTGAGAACAATTTGAAGATTGATGTTTTTATTGTTTACACTGACTCTGAAACAAATTATGGCAAAGTTCATCCAAAGGAGGCTCTCAAACAATATCGTCACCATTCAGGGATTCACGATGCTAAACTCATTGTGGTTGCTATGACATCAAATGGTTTCACTATTGCTGACCCAGATGATCCTGGGATGCTTGATATAGCTGGCTTTGACTCTGCTGCAACACAAGTGATGAGAGAGTTTATCTTGGGGGATTTTTAGAAGTTTTTAGTGAACATCTCTGTATTTTCTCCATAACGAATGTCCTCATTAAGATATGACAAAATTCATAATCTTTGATGGCTCAAGTTGAATGTTGCATGTGGTCGTCAAAGTTGCTTCGTGCATGTTTGCGGGCATGAATTTTGTTACGGTCAATCACCATGTTACGGCATTTTCCCTAAAAAAAAACTTTAGCAAAACACGGGAAAACTAAAAGCAGGATAGCTAACAGTCTGGAGTTCATTCTGTGTTTTATTCATTTCTACAATAAACTTATTTATTTGTACAAAGTCAATTTGTCAATTTATCCACATTTCTCATGCCTTTCCTTACAAAAGACAATTTTTGCAATTGTTCGCGAGTTATCAGTTATTTAATGATAAGCTTTTCGTCTTGAGAGAATTTCCATCAAATTATTTTTATTTTGATTGCTATTTAAACTACAAACTAAACACAAATGCAGTAAACCAAATCATTAATTCATAATATTGTCAACAACAACTCGCTCGTAATGCATTTCGTCTTTGCATGTTGTCAATCACATTTTTTCTTAATTTTTGATTGTTAAACTCTACAAAAAAATGGCTCCGGAGCCGGGAAGCTATGTATGTTCGGAAACTTCCAATTTTTAGATTGTGAACATTTTTTATAAGCTTTGATAAAAAATTGAATACTTGATTTATACAGATGTGCCAACTCTTCAATGAGGGTGACATGATGCAGTTAAATATAACAACCATCGCCAGCAAGACTTCACTAAAGTGCATCCGTTATCAAAAGAAGGGTTGTCTAATAAGGATGTGGATATTATGTACATTGTTATTGCTAAGAAGAAACATTTTCAGCATTTTGGTATAAATCATATTGTATGATGCAAATGACCAGTTTTCAAAATTCGAACCGCTATCCAACTGCAGGGCGTTCGTGGCCAGTAGAATGAGACTTATTTATTAAACTCAGGATTTGAACAACGTTATTTTCCAGAATGCAGTCTATGTTTAAGATTTTAGCATGTTTCTAGATTCCGTGGTTTCTGTAGCATGTTCATAAAAAACTGAAGGAAGTCACGGTCCATTCCTATCTCAAAATACGTTTTTCTAAACAAAATTAAAATCGACTAAAACAGAACATCTCTCCTTGTACCTAGTGCATGGTATTTCATCTTTCGTTATATTTTATAACTGTTTGGGACTCTTACAATTCATTGACTTGTTATCAATTAGGATCATGGGATTGAGACCAAAATCTTCACGACCATAACTAAAGATAAGTTGGGTGAGTCAGCTGGTAAAGGCCGTTGAGTCTTCAGTGGTCTGGGGACAAGTAAGATGATTACATAAATCTTAATTTTTTTAAATGGAAACATCGCTTTTAAATGTTGGTTAAAATGGGGAAACATTACATCCCGGGCGGAGAGAGAGGGTGCGTCTGCGATGCATTATGGTCAGTGTAGTGGATCATAGTTGATAATTATTGATAATCTTTGAAAACCCTAAGCATCTTTTACGATTAATAATCATTGATATGAATATTGGCTTTTCCCTTATTCGTTTAAGTGGCTTTTCCCTTCGAATAAAATCATGGATGAGATAAATGCAATGAAAAGTTTGGAGATTTGTTTCATTAATGAACATTTCGATGGCGTGAACATTGAAAATGATTATTGTTTATCGTACTTTGATGGGGAAAATGAAGAATTGGAGGCTGTTTTGCAGAAACTTCAAGCAATTAATTCTATTAGCTTTGTTACCGTCGAAAATCATAGGAAAGAGATGAGTAATAAGAGATTTACTCAAGCAAGTAAGTGCGTACGCCAAAAAGCCGTAAACTGTATGTTTGACTTCGTCAATCTTACATCCAAGCAACTTAAATGAACACGGATAACATGAAACCAATCATGCTAATGTTAGTTAGGCCGCAAGCAAGGTTTACAAATACGTGTCTGAGGATGACTTTGAAATAAAGTCGAAAATTTACAGTTCACTTCTCGTCTTGTTTTGATTGATATTTTGCAATCTGAAGATGTCCTGTTTTTTCAGAATTTGTTTTATATTATATTTTTTAAATTGTTGCCTGGTCAGAGTTTTTGGACAAATACATGTGTTGCTTGAAATAAGATCCCGACGACGCAAATACGCTTGAATAATCCCACTTAACACACTTAATTGAAAATATCGTTTTTCCAAAATGGGTTAATTGGAAAACACGAAAACAATGATCGCGCAGATGTTGTAACTCAGCTATAGAATGAATTACAATACATGTTCTCGTAGATCATGCAGTTTTGAAGACAAAGAGGATATCTTCCAATTTCGTTTTTGGCAAGCCATTCTCTATAAAAGTACAGAAACGCGGCATTGTCTCCATGGACCTAATAAGGTACGTAAATCAACATCAATGATCAATCACCAGACAACAACATCAAAGATATAAAAAACAGTCTTTTTATCAAAAATTTCTAGTTATTAACACTGCCTATAGAAATGTTTGTAGAGTTAACTATTAAAAAATCTTATTCAGTAAGAAAGAGAATTACATTCGCTATACATTAAAGAAGAAATATTTGGGCTTTTTACATACATATAGCGGGTAAAAAATTGCGTTGCTTTATTACACATCCAGGATGGAAGAGGAGGTTATAGTGTACAGTCAGTGGGAGACCACGAATATGAAAAGAAACAGCGAGTTAGACTACAAAACAGTCGAAAACTCCAGTGCCCTGCAACTTTGCAAATTCGTTGCATCGAGATTTTTGATGATTACTTCATGGAGAAAAACGCTTGTCAATCCAACAACGCCATAAAAGTTGCCAAACGTACGCTTCTAACTAAACTAAACGAGGCCCTTAATAAAGAGAACGCAAAAGTCCGTAGGTCCACGCGATTTTACCTAAGGATACCGCTAAGCTCTGCTCACCAAAAACACCCAGTGGGAACTGAGTTATCAATTGGCCAATACGTCGATTCACGTGTCGTGAAAAAAATCTATGATTTGGTCGAACAAAATATTACCAGCGTTGCTGAAGTAAAGCGATGGCTGGACAATTTCGTAGAGAACGATCTATTTCGAGATGTTCCAAAAACACAGGTTCCCAAAAAAAGCAAATCGACGATACTATCCATCCCGGCAAGACATTCGAAATCACATTGGTAGAGCCATTTCTTCTTTCAAATCTTGCGACGATGACCAGGAAGCACTGGCAAGGAAAGTTGACGAGTGGAAAGCAAAAGATCCCACTTCGAATTTTTTTTTTATAGGATGCGAGAGGAAACGACAAAGAGAAATAACGACAGCGATAGAGTATCCGCAGAGCAAAGCTTTTTGTTTGTTCATCAAGAACAATGGCAGCAGCGTTTGTTGACAAGATATGGATACGAGCTTGTTTTGATGGATGCTACATACAAAACAACGAAGTATGCGATACCCCTGTTCTTCATTTGTGTTCACACAAATGTTGGCTACAAAGTCGTGGCCGAGTTCATGTGCCAAGCAGAGGACAGAGAATCTATCAGTGAAGCTTTGAACGTAGTCAAATCATGGAATCGTGATTGGACTCCTAAGTATTTCATGGTCGACTATTCAACAGCCGAGATTGCGGCGATCGAAGAACAGTTTCATGACATAACAGTCTACATCTGCGATTTCCACAGAATTCAAGCCATGCAAAGATGGTCAAAAGCAAAGAAGCACAACCTAACACCAGAAGAACAGGAAATGTTCCTGAGCCAAATGCAGAGAATATCATTTGCAAGCACAGAGAGTGAGTATGATGCCGAAGTCACCAACTTACGGAAGTCTGGATTCTATGAAAAAGTTAAAGAATATACTGAAAACACATGGCTTTCGTGTTCGGCACGTTGGGTCCATGCGTTTCGAACACAACAAGCAGTGAACGTCGTCAACACTAACAATGGCACAGAGGCAATGAACAAGCTATTTAAATACGAATATTTACCAAGATCAGTGGATAAATCTGTGTATGGCATTGCAATCACAATTGTAGAGTGTTTCATTCCTGACTCTCACCAGGGCTATATGCAAAAAAACCTTATGTTTAGTAGTGCATATGCAATGTATAACAAAAGCGTTCCAATTTATTTAAGAGACAGACCTCCACAATTCGTAAAACATTGCATTAAAAGTCGTTATGCCGCCACAGAGTACAATAACTCTGACATTTCAGCAGTTAATTTCCAAAAGGGGGAGTTTCATATCAGAAGTTTAGCCAACCCACGTGAAAGGCATCTTGTAAATTTGAGCAAACCAGAGTGTTCTTGCAAAGCTTGGAAGAAGACTCATTACCCTTGCAAACATTTTTTTGCAATATTTTCCGCCAATCTAGAGTGGAGTTTCGACTCTTTGCCTGATCACTACAGAAATAGCGTTTTCATTACACTTGATAATGAACATTTCACCATTATAAACTATGATATTTCAGAGAAAACAGCAGAGGAGAAATCAACAACCATAGAAACGCCGGAAGACACCAAATTCGACATCGAAAGCACTGCAGATAAATCCGAAAAGTCTTTTCATCCTGCTTTTAATTCTAAATTGTGCGAAGGAAAATTTCAAAATCACGACACACCCAAGTTGAGAAAAGTTCTTCATGAGAAACTGGATGCTATAAAAAACACGTCCTTTCTCGTTGATAAAGTTGGTGATCTTCAAGCAGCTATAGAATCGGTAGACAAAATACACCAGAAACTAATATCTTCTTGCCCAAATGCAAACGGAATTCTGCTTCGAAGTAGTCCGGTGAAAAGAAACTAAAATCAATAAAACAGAATACCATCAAGTTTTCCACAAAAGCCTACCAAAACGAAAAAAATGGAGAAAAAAGGATTCACTAGCTCAGGTACGTATGATGTAGTGAAGCAAGATCACAAGCAGAAGTTAAGGGGTCGTATGAAAAAGACATTGCTAAGTATTTACTAAAAATAATTATAATCAATATATCGTTCACCATCGGGTATGATTTTGTTTCTGTAGAAAACTGAAAAAATACCCATTTGCATAATTGAAGGGATTGAGGATGATGCACTATACAATTCAGACATTGTAGTCGCACAACGTACTAGCTTCCCGCAAGAAGACTTTGACGCAAATAAGGGTTGTGGTGATCATTCCCAACGGTAACGTATAAATCAAATGTCCATTTTTATACAAATTATTGGATAATTCACTAGTATTTATGGTATATAACAGCTTTAAATATCCTTTCTTTGAATCAAGCAGAAAACACGAACCCTTGTCAAGATTAATAAATGCAACAAAGATGGGGTTCAAATTGCACGACGTATTGTTAGATTTCGGGCAGACACAACTAACACTCGGCGATTTGTGGACACTTATTCCGCCTAAAGTGGCACGTATGCACAGTTTAGAGACATCGTCATTAACAAATTTCCATCCTGGTTGGCTAATAGATAAGGTTGGTAAGCGTCTAGGCTAAATAACCAGTGAAGACAGGGGAGTTAGAAAATGGTAGCTATGGGGGCTTTCGTCCCTTTATATTTAGGGGGCATCCTCCCTGTTTTCTTATAGTAGGGGGCACCCCCCCTACTTTAAGAAAACAAAATAACATAATGAATCCTACTAGGAATAATTTCATATCACCATTAGGTAGTAAAACATACTACCTTATTGGCATTGATATCATACAAATGTGTACATTTATCATCTTTACATTAAATAAGTTTGCAAGGAAACAGGCAGACAGTCATAAGTGCTTCAATGATTGTGCTGGATTTAGAAGAAGTAAACTTGAATAGGTAGCACTTAAAGCTTAGCACAACTTTGTCATAACGTCCTATCCATTTCCTGTATTCTGCTTACAAACCTTTTGCATTATACACTCTAAAAGCATGGTTGTAGTTTCTTAATTCAGTTGCTTAACTTAAAAGTGATTACAGTTTAAATACAAAACAGTAAATACGAAAAGGAGAATACATACGTAACATACCTGCTTTTGACGAGTGCAGAAAAAAGTTTTCGTATTCAGCGATCAATTACGTAGCATGAACTCATACAACATGTACATCGTTTTTTGCTGACCCTCTAATCTTATCTTTTATCATTTTCAATTATAAACAGTGAACTGTAATCACAACATTGTTGTTATTACAGTTCACTGAATATAAATCATTGGGATAAATGGGATTAGTTGAATAATACCATTTTATCCACTACACTGACCATGATGCATCGCAGACGCACCCTCTCTCTCCGCCCGGGATGTAATGTTTCCCGGTTAAATGTTGGCAATAATATAAATAAATATTTACGAAATGAACTTACATGAAAATAGTTTTATAACCATTAAGCTAGTTAAGTAAAGGAGAAATACATTTTTATTATCTGTGGATTTTACAATGATTCACAGTTTGTTTATCATCAACCATTCAGGGTGAGTCGGTAGTGACAGTATGTATTGGTTTTATATTTGTTTGCTCTCAAAGCTCTTCTGTTGGTTTTGTACGTATCAGCTTGTGATTTTGTGAGAAGTACTTTACAATTATTTGAATGAGGTAAAATGAGATTAGTTTCAGTAAGATATTAAAGGAAAGCTTGAACAATGTCAGAAGCCATTGAAGGTAGATTATGAGAAGTATCATGTGACAGGATTAATACCCAGAAAAAATAAAGAATGTCATAAAAATCGTGTAATATTACCTGATATCTGTAATTTCAATAGTGTTGAAGTCAGTTAGATGATGCCATTTTGATGATTTCAGCTTCCTCAATTGTTTATTTATCACAACTTTACACCAAATGGGTTACTGTGAGTCACCAGGTCATATGATGTTTTTCATGTACATTTAGGGATATATTTCTGGAAAAAATTGGAGAAGTGTTTTGGGACGCTCTGTTTGTGATTATTTCTTCGAAGCTCAAGGAAAGGTGAATGAATATATGTGTAAATTTTTGTTTGTGCTTGTTTGGTTGAGAAGTTTTAAGGTACTTTCATGAACAGTTTTCATGTTATATTTGTCTGGCAAAAATACTCCTAAACAAATTAAATATCATCTTTTATGTTCAGGCTACTTCTCCAGAAGACATTCCTCCTGTAATTGCAACAGGATTCAGTTATCTCATCAGTATATTTCGCCATGATCTCTTCTTTGTTTCTGTTGTTGAAAATGAAGGTTTGTGTTTATATTAAGGTTAGTTAATGTTTTATTAATGTTTATTTTTAATCAATTGCCTCTAATCCAATCAAGAAATTAATTGCTAGTTTTAATTTAAAAAGTATGCATTACATTGGAAAGAAGTGTTATCACTCAACAAAAGGCATTGCATTAGGCATTCTTAGTGGTCAGTGTGCGAATTAGTTCAGAAAAAACGATGTGCAATTTTTTTGACAAAAGTGTTTCTTTAGAGGCATAATCAAATCGATATTACGTTAATTATTACATAGCGCTAATTGCTAATATATAATATTATTAAACAAGAACAAATTCATATGATTTACGACAGTGTTTTTCGTTAAGACTGCTGATTTTTGCACATCATTTGAAAAAGTGATGTGCAATTGTTTTCATTTTAGCTAAAACGATGTGCAAATTGCACATTGCACACCGTTCATTCGCACACTGTTAGTGGTAGTGAAATAATTTAGCTTTCATATCATCAAAATGTGGTGAACACTTTCATGATTATTATTATTGATGAATTGAAAACATTCCTTTCCAGTTCCACCTTTGTTTGTGATTGAATTTCTTCATCGAGTGGTTGACTTGATCAAAGAATATTTCTCTGACTGTACTGAAACAATCATTAAAGAAAATTGTGTCATTGTATATGAGGTTTGAGATTAGTATATTTTGTAGAGAATCCAGCTGTTTGATGAATGAATTTCAATTTTTTCTGTTCTGTGTGATGTAAAATATGATATTATATCTTTATATTCTTCAGTTATTGGAAGAGATGTTGGATAATGGATTCCCTCTTGCTACAGAGTCAAATGTCCTTAAAGAGTTGATAAGACCTTCTAGTATAGTTAGAAATGTTGTTAATAAAGTGACTGGAGACAGCAAGTAAGGACCTTCCTTATAGTAAACATATGAGCCATGTTTTTATGTAGTGATCTATATGTTGTTCATATAAGGATCAGATATAAATGTAAAGCAAATCCGTAAAACCAATAAACATTTCTATATTTGCATTGTTATTTATATGCAACTTACTACAATATTTAGTTAAATTTGTTTTAGTTTACACATTTATGATCATTCTACATATAATTTAAGTTAAATATTTCATATTTTCCTAGTATGAGCAGTCATCTCCCAACTGGTCAATTGTCCAATGTTCCATGGAGGAGAACTGGTGTAAAATATGCAAATAATGAGGTACATAGCTATATTCACACTGTTCCATTAAGAAATTTGAAAGAAAATCCTTTTTTATGCTTTGTTTTAGTTGTAATGTGATGAGTGAACTTTTTTCTTTTGTTAATTAGTTGTAATAAATATTGCTAATTAGTTGTTAGTTGTAATTATTCATAATTACTTCCAATTAATTCTAATTATCACAAATTAGTCCTAAGTATTTCTAATTAATTCTATTTATGTTATAGATTTATTTTGATGTAGCCGAAAGCATTGATGCCATCATTGATAAACAGGTAACAACATTATAATACTGTGGATTTCTTGTTCCCTTTGTGGAAGATGTATGACAAAAATATGTTTGTTCTTTTTGTTTGATGTTAAATTAAAACTAAGGACATGTACGAACTGAAAACTTATGGCATGTTTAAATTCCTAAAATTTTCTGTTTTGTGTAGGGCTCCACCATATTTTCAGAAATAGAAGGAACTGTAAGTGCCTTCCTTTTTTTATACTTTGTTATATGTACTCTCTAGTACAAAATTTTAAAGATTTTTTCCCCTTTTTTCAACTTTGTACTTTCAAATTGACACCAACTGTAAATTATCTGGCATGCCTGGTATATTTATGATACTTTGTTATATCCCTAGCAGTGTGCGAATTAGTTCAGAAAAAACGATGTGCAATTTTTTTGACAAAAGTGTTTCTTTATAGGCATAAAGCGATATTACGTTAATTATTATGTAGCGCTAATTGCCAAATTAATATTTTTAAACGTGAACAAATTCGTTGGACAGTGTTTTTCGTTAAAACCGCTGATTTTTGCACATCGTTTGAAAAAGTGATGTGCAATTGTTTTCATTTTAGCTAAAACGATGTGCAAATTGCACATTGCACACCGTTAATTCGCACACTGGTCCCTAGATTAAAATTGAATTTATCTGTAGATTAAAGATTTCTATTAATTATAGATCTCAACATGTGTTTTACAAATCCTCGTATCCTTGAAGATGTCAGTTTTCATCCTTGTCTTCGCTTCAGAAGATGGGAGGTACGTAAGTGTGAATGTTGAATATGGATTGTCTCTGATCAAAGTCAACACAAATTATTCATAATATGACTAATAACAATTGTCTTTTTACATTAAACACTTTTCTTTCAATCTTGCACTAAAACTGCGTTTGAACGCGACTACTTCAAATGTCTGTGTATTTTAGTCTGAACGAATTTTGTCATTCGTCCCCCCGGATGGTCGTTTTCGTTTAATATCATATAACGTGGCAACCGGGTGGATGTTTTAGCAGTTATATTTTCATGATAAATTGTCTATTTTGATGGTATTTTTTGTTTTTTCTTTAGAGTAAATATGCTACCATTGTTTGCAAAGCCTCGTGTCTTGTTTCAAGAGGTTTATCAACTGTTGAAATTATTTTAAAATATTTTTTATTGATTGAAATAAATTAAAGTGTTTGATTTTTCTACATTCGTCTTTTTCTTGGTTGTTTTAGGGCGGAAGTGGAAGATTTGAATTGTCGATAAGTTCAAAACCAGTTATGGGTAAAAATGTATGTATTTATAATCATGTCAATTTATTAAACTGCTGTTGCATCTTCTTGCATTTATAAACTTAAAGATATAACCTAAACTAGTCCATTTTTTTCATACGTATTATCTCAAAGCATTTTGTATAAAACTAACTACATCGTCCTAACGTCATCATACCAAGTCAAATATTGCATACATTAACTTTTTCAAAGTCTTTTCACTCAATGTTTCCATATTTTATTTAGATCGAGAATGTTGTCGTGACTGTTCCATTTCCTAAACAAGTTCTCAACCTTAACTTAACTACAAACGGTAAAAACACTCATAAAATATTAAACATTACAGTCTGATGTTTCATTGCTCTTCGTTGACATTTCCCATCAACATTTATGACTTGTGTTCCATGTTTTCAGTTGGTACCTATTCATTTGATCCAATCAAAAAAGAGCTTTCATGGGAGGTAGGTTCATGAGGAAATTGTCACGATCACGTGGTTATGTGAATCTAACGTTACGTTAAACAATTTTAGATCGGTAGAATACAATCTCAGACATCGTCACCTAACATCAAAGGAAATGTAAGTAAAACTTGTTTTTTTTTAATTTTTGCCCGTCTCAGTTGATTTACAGACGTCTTGCCATGTTTTTCAAGAAAATATTTTCAAACTTTTTGCATGCAGAGCAAGATTTCCCCTCACAACATTTTTTGCTCACGAAGTAAAGTAAGGTCGATCTTGCCAGTAACCATTCCTTGGTCACAAAGTAAGGTCGATCTTGCCAGTAACCATTCCTTGGTCACAAAGTAAGGTCGATCTTGCCAGTAACCATTCCTTGGTCACAAAGTAAGGTCGATCTTCACAGTAACCATTCCTTGGTCACAATGTAAGGTCGATCTTCACAGGTCGCTATCACTGTAGTTATATTCTTAAATTGTATTCTCTTTTCTGATAATTGGTACTATCCCTCTTCCACTTTGGTTTTCACCTTTAAAGATCTGATTTCCTACCATAATTAAACAACGTGTTGATTTGAGAATAGCTCTGTTCTTTTTATGAAACTTCTCTGGTTTCATTTCGTCTTATGTTACTTGTCGTCAAATTCTTGCTGTATGTTGGTTTTCTGTAGTTTACTGCTTCTTATCATAATCTTTGTTTATTTTTCTTCTTTTTTTTTATGAAAAGAATTAATGCATATCTTCATAATCTTTTAATTTCTTTCCTTTTGTCTAATTTCCAATGTTTATATTTCAGATATCTTTAAAAAGCGATGTTCCACCTTCGTAATAAACACCAACTGGATTCGTAAGTGGTTTTTTACTGAGTAACGCATATAAAACCAGTTATAATTGGATGATATACTAAAATAGTTCCCAAACAAAACGTTCTCTATGATACAAAGTTAACATAACTTCTCTCAGACATGATTTATTTATCAATACTCCTTAATCATAAACATGCAACAGCCTGCAACACTACCATCATAAATTTGTAGAAACCTGTCTCCCTTACGCCTTCTTTCATCGGTAGCATTCTTTTCTTTAGTTAAATTTCAAAATATATTCATTTGCCGCTTTGGGATTGAAAGTCGGTACACTGGATGTACATGGGGAGGTAGGAACAGTTTGCATGGTTTGTTGTTTGTGTAGAGGTACACTTTGCATGGTTTGTTGTGTATGTAGGGGTACACTTTGCATGGTTTGTTGTGTATGTAGGGGTACACTTTGCATGGTTTGTTGTGTATGTAGGGTACACTTTGCATGGTTTGATGTGTATGTAGGGGTACACTTTGCATGGTTTGATGTGTGTAGGGGTACATTTTGCATGGTTTGTTGTGTATGTAGGGGTACACTGCATGGTTTAATGTGTATGTAGGGTACACTTTGCATGGTTTGATGTGTGTAGGGGTACACTTTGCGTGATTTGTTGTGTATGTAGGGGTACACTTTGCATAGTTTGTTGTGTATATAGGGGTACACTTTGCATAGTTTGTTGTGTATGTAGGGGTACACTTTGCATGGTTTGATGTGTATGTAGGGGTACACTTTGCATGGTTTGATGTGTGTAGGGGTACATTTTGCAGGGTTTGTTGTACATATTGGTGTTCATTTTGAGTCCAACTAATGTTATATGGTTTCTGATGTAATTTAGAACTAAAAGCTATGAAAGGAGTCAAGACACAACAGCTTGACGGTATAAGATAAGAACATAAAATTTTGTTAAATAAGTAAGGACTTTAATTATATAGTAAGTAAGGACTTTAATTATAGAGGGGGACACGTAACAGCTGAAAAGCTGACAAACCTGGGGCACAACACAACATTTACGCATGGCTAACAATTCGCGAATCTCCTTCCTAATCCTTCGACAGAACAAATTTTGATTAGTTTTCGAAAAGATAATTCAAGTTGTTGTGTTTTTTTCCACTTGTATGCATGTTTGACAAAAAAAATGTATCGTCTACAGGGACTACTGTAGCAATTGAACTTTACCATGGAATAAAAAAGAAAAGTTGTAAATGCAATCTTCAACGAAGTTGAACGATAAAAACGCGTCAATGCAGCAATTCTGTACACGCAAAGAAGTTATGTTATATTGCAGCACGTTATATTCAGAGAAAAATTTCACTTGGAGCAACTGTACAGTCACTGTGAGTGCAGTGTGCAATGTTGAAAAAGGGAACAGTTCTAAATGTGGAAGGGAGGAAAAATTGACCTGTTAAAGTTATTAGTAGTTTTTAGTACAAAATGGGAATCAAGCTTTAGAGTTTGTTTCCACTAGCTGAAAATTTTGTACATTTTGCCAAAAAATTTAGCATGGTTTGGATTCTTGTTATTTTTCTAGTGTTACATGGCTGCTTTAAACATATGGAGTTGCTGGTCCGAACAAGAAGTTGGCATTCCACTATTCAACGTGGCTTCAATTCTTTCCGTTTTTCTGGTGTTACTTGGGTACTTAGAGCGTATGGATTTCCTAAACTTATGTAAAGCTTTGATTCTCGTTTATGATACATAGCGTTCCCAAGTTGTAATTGGATATTGTTTCTAAGTTTGTAAGAGATTTTTCGATCAAAGTTTTATCTGTTGTCAACATTTCTAATTATGTTCTTCCTGAAAATGAATTTCTGTCTGCAGAAACTGATCATTCAGTTTATCAACTTGTTGTTTCATCCTCAAAAAATGCTAAACGATCATACGAGGCAGCTGCATGGCAGTTTTGAATATCATATGACTTTTACAATATTTTATTGAATTTTTAATTTCAGGGAATTTGATAGGTAGTCTTGACGGTCATTATGGATTTACCTGCAAACGTTGGCTCATAGGTCCTGCCTATAGAGATTTTATCTCGTTTGAGAGGAAGAGAGTTTTAGAGAAAAGTCGCATTAAAAAGTAAGTTTCCCAGTTAAATCGCAACATTAATTGTAGTTTTGAGCATTTTAGAAAAATTCAAAATACATCAGTGACACAATAAAATTTTAGTGAGCCTGGGGGAACATAAAATACTCGCGATTTGATATCATTTATATTAGTTTGTTAGTTTAATATGACAAAACAGAACATACGTGAGTGTCTACACTGAAGTGACAAAACAGAACATACGTGAGTGTCTACACTGTAGTGACAAAACAGACCATACGTGAGTGTCTACACTGTAGTGACAAAACAGAACATACGTGAGTGTCTACACTGTAGTGACAAAACAGAACATACGTGAGTGTCTACACTGTAGTGACAAAACAGAACATACGTGAGTGTCTACACTGTAGTGACAAAACAGAACATACGTGAGTGTCTACACTGTAGTGACAAAACAGAACATACGTGAGTGTCTACACTGTAGTGACAAAACAGAACATACGTGAGTGTCTACACTGTAGTAACAAAACAGAACATACGTGAGTGTCTACACTGTAGTGACAAAACAGAACATACGTAAGTGTCTACACTGTAGTGACAAAACAGAACATACGTAAGTGTCTACACTGTAGTGACAAAACAGAACATACGTGAGTGTCTACACTGTAGTGACAAAACAGAACATACGTGAGTGTCTACACTGTAGTGACAAAACAGAACATACGTGAGTGTCTACACTGTAGTGACAAAACAGAACATACGTGAGTGTCTACACTGTAGTGACAAAACAGAACATACGTGAGTGTCTACACTGTAGTGACAAAACAGAACATACGTGAGTGTCTACACTGTAGTAACAAAACAGAACATACGTGAGTGTCTACACTGTAGTGACAAAACAAAACATACGTGAGTGTCTACACTGTAGTGACAAAACAGAACATACGTGAGTGTCTACACTGTAGTGACAAAACAGAACATACGTAAGTCTACACTGTAGTAACAAAACAGAACATACGTGAGTGTCTACACTGTAGTGACAAAACAGAACATACGTAAGTGTCTACACTGTAGTAACAAAACAGAACATACGTAAGTGTCTACACTGTAGTAACAAAACAGAACATACGTGAGTGTCTACACTGTAGTGACAAAACAGAACATACGTGAGTGTCTACACTGTAGTGACAAAACAGAACATACGTGAGTGTCTACACTGTAGTAACAAAACAGAACATACGTGAGTGTCTACACTGTAGTGACAAAACAGAACATACGTGAGTGTCTACACTGTAGTAACAAAACAGAACATACGTGAGTGTCTACACTGTAGTAACAAAACAGAACATACGTAAGTGTCTACACTGTAGTGACAAAACAAAACATACGTGAGTGTCTACACTGTAGTGACAAAACAAAACATACGTGAGTGTCTACACTGTAGTGACAAAACAGAACATACGTGAGTGTCTACACTGTAGTGACAAAACAGAACATACGTGAGTGTCTACACTGTAGTGACAAAACAAAACATACGTGAGTGTCTACACTGTAGTGACAAAACAGAACATACGTGAGTGTCTCCACTGTAGTAACAAAACAGAACATACGTAAGTGTCTACACTGTAGTAACAAAACAGAACATACGTGAGTGTCTACACTGTAGTGACAAAACAAAACATACGTAAGTGTCTACACTGTTGTGACAAAACAGAACATACGTGAGTGTCTCCACTGTAGTGACAAAACAGAACATACGTGAGTGTCTACACTGTAGTGACAAAACAGAACATACGTAAGTGTCTACACTGTAGTGACAAAACAGAACATACGTAAGTGTCTACACTGTAGTGACAAAACAGAACATACGTGAGTGTCTACACTGTAGTAACAAAACAGAACATACGTGAGTGTCTACACTGTAGTGACAAAACAGAACATACGTGAGTGTCTACACTGTAGTGACAAAACAGAACATACGTAAGTCTCTACACTGTAGTAACAAAACAGAACATACGTGAGTGTCTACACTGTAGTAACAAAACAGAACATACGTGAGTGTCTACACTGTAGTGACAAAACAGAACATACGTGAGTGTCTACACTGTAGTGACAAAACAGAACATACGTGAGTGTCTCCACTGTAGTAACAAAACAGAACATACGTGAGTGTCTACACTGTAGTGACAAAACAGAACATACGTGAGTGTCTACACTGTAGTGACAAAACAGAACATACGTGAGTGTCTACACTGTAGTGACAAAACAGAACATACGTGAGTGTCTACACTGTAGTGACAAAACAGAACATACGTAGTGTCTACACTGTAGTGACAAAACAAAACATACGTGAGTGTCTACACTGTAGTGACAAAACAGAACATACGTAAGTGTCTACACTGTAGTAACAAAACAGAACATACGTGAGTGTCTACACTGTAGTAACAAAACAGAACATACGTGAGTGTCTACACTGTAGTGACAAAACAGAACATACGTGAGTGTCTACACTGTAGTAACAAAACAGAACATACGTGAGTGTCTACACTGTAGTAACAAAACAGAACATACGTGAGTGTCTACACTGTAGTAACAAAACAGAACATACGTGAGTGTCTACACTGTAGTAACAAAACAGAACATACGTGAGTGTCTACACTGTAGTGACAAAACAGAACATACGTGAGTGTCTACACTGTAGTAACAAAACAGAACATACGTGAGTGTCTACACTGTAGTAACAAAACAGAACATACGTAAGTGTCTACACTGTAGTGACAAAACAAAACATACGTAGTGTCTACACTGTAGTGACAAAACAGAACATACGTGAGTGTCTACACTGTAGTAACAAAACAAAACATACGTGAGTGTCTACACTGTAGTAACAAAACAGAACATACGTAGTGTCTACACTGTAGTGACAAAACTGAACATACGTGAGTGTCTACACTGTAGTGACAAAACAGAACATACGTGAGTGTCTACACTGTAGTGACAAAACAGAACATACGTGAGTGTCTACACTGTAGTGACAAAACAGAACATACGTGAGTGTCTACACTGTAGTGACAAAACAGAACATACGTGAGTGTCTACACTGTAGTGACAAAACAAAACATACGTGAGTGTCTACACTGTAGTGACAAAACAGAACATACGTGAGTGTCTACACTGTAGTGACAAAACAGAACATACGTGAGTGTCTACACTGTAGTGACAAAACAAAACATACGTGAATGTCTACACTGTAGTGACAAAACAGAACATACGTGAGTGTCTACACTGTAGTGACAAAACAGAACATACGTGAGTGTCTACACTGTAGTGACAAAACAGAACATACGTGAGTGTCTACACTGTAGTGACAAAACAGAACATACGTAAGTGTCTACACTGTAGTGACAAAACAAAACATACGTGAGTGTCTACACTGTAGTGACAAAACAGAACATACGTGAGTGTCTACACTGTAGTAACAAAACAGAACATACGTAAGTGTCTACACTGTAGTAACAAAACAGAACATACGTGAGTGTCTACACTGTAGTGACAAAACAAAACATACGTGAGTGTCTACACTGTAGTGACAAAACAGAACATACGTGAGTGTCTACACTGTAGTGACAAAACAGAACATACGTGAGTGTCTACACTGTAGTGACAAAACAGAACATACGTGAGTGTCTACACTGTAGTGACAAAACAGAACATACGTGAGTGTCTACACTGTAGTGACAAAACAAAACATACGTGAGTGTCTACACTGTAGTGACAAAACAGAACATACGTGAGTGTCTACACTGTAGTGACAAAACAGAACATACGTGAGTGTCTACACTGTAGTGACAAAACAGAACATACGTGAGTGTCTACACTGTAGTGACAAAACAGAACATACGTGAGTGTCTACACTGTAGTGACAAAACAAAACATACGTGAGTGTCTACACTGTAGTGACAAAACAGAACATACGTGAGTGTCTACACTGTAGTGACAAAACAGAACATACGTGAGTGTCTACACTGTAGTGACAAAACAGAACATACGTGAGTGTCTACACTGTAGTGACAAAACAAAACATACGTGAGTGTCTACACTGTAGTGACAAAACAGAACATACGTGAGTGTCTACACTGTAGTGACAAAACAGAACATACGTGAGTGTCTACACTGTAGTGACAAAACACAACATACGTGAGTGTCTACACTGTAGTGACAAAACAGAACATACGTGAGTGTCTACACTGTAGTGACAAAACAGAACATACGTGAGTGTCTACACTGTAGTGACAAAACACAACATACGTGAGTGTCTACACTGTAGTGACAAAACACAACATACGTGAGTGTCTACACTGTAGTGACAAAACAGAACATACGTGAGTGTCTACACTGTAGTGACAAAACACAACATACGTGAGTGTCTACACTGTAGTGACAAAACACAACATACGTGAGTGTCTACACTGTAGTGACAAAACAAAACATACGTGAGTGTCTACACTGTAGTGACAAAACACAACATACGTGAGTGTCTACACTGTAGTGACAAAACAGAACATACGTGAGTGTCTACACTGTAGTAACAAAACAGAACATACGTGAGTGTCTACACTGTAGTGACAAAACAGAACATACGTGAGTGTCTACACTGTAGTAACAAAACAGAACATACGTGAGTGTCTACACTGTAGTGACAAAACAGAACATACGTGAGTGTCTACACTGTAGTGACAAAACACAACATACGTGAGTGTCTACACTGTAGTGACAAAACAGAACATACGTGAGTGTCTACACTGTAGTGACAAAACAGAACATACGTGAGTGTCTACACTGTAGTGACAAAACAGAACATACGTGAGTGTCTACACTGTAGTGACAAAACAGAACATACGTGAGTGTCTACACTGTAGTGACAAAACAGAACATACGTGAGTGTCTACACTGTAGTGACAAAACAGAACATACGTGAGTGTCTACACTGTAGTGACAAAACAGAACACGTGAGTGTCTACACTGTAGTGACA